CGGAATCCGGAAAAAAACAAGATCTAGTAATAGAATTACTATTGAAACTAAAAATAAATGCAATGTAAATCATAATGTACTCATTCTCATATACAAATATGCTATCACCAGAAGTTATTATTGAACTTAATCATCAAATCAAATTTATTCTTGAAAATTCGTGTGTTTGTGGGAAACGGTTAATAGGAACGGAAATTCCACTTGTCTAATCATTAGTTTTGTAATCACTATCAATTAGAATAAAGAGAATAAGAGAGAAAGTGAGAGAGAGAAACAATATAAAAAATGGAAATTTTTTTCAGATCAGAATAGAGAAAAACATTCAATCTTTTTTTTATAGTGAAAATGATATTCAAAAAAAAAAAAATTCCATGAAAGCCATAGGCACATTGTCTTTGCATATTCATTTGTGTTGTGTGTGTACATACAGAATGTTCAATACCGTCATCATAACGATAACAATAAATTGATGATGATGATGATGATCGGTAACGGTAATTCTCTCGGGATCTACATTTTTTTTTTTGTTTGCCAAAATATACAGACAGAATAATCATCAGAATAAGCGAATCAATGTTATGTGTTTGTGCACTATACAAGTGTGTGTATGTGTGTATATCTCATTCGAGAATCCATTGGGAGTGCATATAGAACAGAAAAAATAGAGAGATTTTGTTTTTTTTTTATCTACTAGCGATGTTGTTATATTGTAATCTTGTACTGAAAAAAAAAACATTGTACATTATATAATATAATATATAGTCATATATAATTGAATAGTAAAATGATGATTATAATAATAACGGAAATAGTAATAAGGGTAAAATACATTCATTCAATGTGAATAGTTTGAGTAAATATTTGTGGAAGCGTTTTGCTGCCTTTCTTTTATTCACGTTTTTTTTTCTATTCTTTGGTTTCTTAACTGTTATCGATGATGATGACGATGATTCTCTTGTGTCATCTATGATGCATGTGTTTGTGTTTGTGTGTGTGTGTGTGTGTGTGTGTGTGTGTGTATTTCAGCAGAATGGTAGAAGAAGAGATAAAAAAACATCATTGGAAATACTTAGTTAGATAGACATATATATGCGTATACGTAGTTCATACATCCATTTTCAAACATTTCGATATTTATATGGTTCATTGATATCTATGTATGTGTGGTTTATGTCAACAGAAACCAACATTCAATATGGAATTTTTTTTTCTCCTTTTCAATACAAAACAAAAGTTGAGAATTGAAGTGAAGAAATGATGATGATGATGATGATAATGTTTAGTGAAAGTAAAATCAAGAATAGAGAATCCGGAATAGAAATGAAGCAAATGAAAAAAAAGAGAGTGAAAAAAAAATGAGAAACGAAAAATCCAATTGAAACGAGAGAAGAAAACAAAAAATACAACCAAAAAAATGAAATTGTACTTGAAAAGTGGATGGAAATAAAATTGAATAGATGAATTCTTCATTGAAATATAGAATTTTATGTGAAGGAGAATAGAAGTGAAGAAAAAAAGAACGTTACATGCTAAAATGAACGGTGGATATTTTGTTTGTATTTTTTTTGGGGGGATTCTGGATTCGGATATTGGCGATAGGAATGATGAAACAGAGAGAGAAAGAGAAAATGACAACTTGCTCTTACAACGCCACATCAATCATTTCTTGAAATTCCATACATTCTTTGATATTCAGGCTTTTTCTTGCACAATATTCAATTGTCTGTGAATTTTTCGTAAGATGATTTTTATTCTGATACATGTTTGATAAGTTAAATATAAGAATATTCTATCATTTGTGATTATAGAAAACATTAATTTAAAAAGAATTCAAAATAAAAATTAATATTGAAATGTAGCAATGATATGGGAAATTGGAATATTCTATGGAAATTATTTTGCAAATAAATAAAAAATTATTATTATTCCATCATTTTAATCAAAAATTAAAACATTACAATATGATAATGGAATGCAGTTTGATTAATAATAATAAATTCAATGAATAATTTGATTATGATGATGATAATTGAATAAATTGAATAACAATAATGATAATAATAAGGTATATAAAATTGTAGCAATAAAAAATTGTTATGAATGATTTTGAATGAATATATATCCAATGTAGAATAATTTTGAATAAAAAATAATATTTGTTCACGTTGAACGTAATATATTTCATGGAATAAGAACAAAAAAAAAAACGATTCCGGTGAAAACCATCATCAATCATCCAATATGGTTATGATGTGTTGCATTCATGACCGGCGGTATTAATGGGAAAAAAATTCCTATGATATGAAATCAAATTTTGATGGTTATATGTTTTTTTTTTAATTTTCATTTTCAATTGATAATTCATACCTAGATTACGTCCAATTTGTAATAAATAAACAATACTTTTCAAGAATAATGGTATGAATGCAGCACCAGATACAAATGGTAATGATAACATTAATAAAAATGGTATAATCCAATTGGTGAAACCGGAATTTTTATGGCTAACCAATAATACTGGTGGTGCATGATGATGTCCATGATGAAATAATGGACCTGCCGCTAAATCTAAACGATTTGTTTCTGTTGAATTAAAAAAAATCGAAGAAAAGAAAAAATTTTATATATATAGATGATAATGATTTAAATACAGATTTTTTAGAAAAAAAAACCATACGCATCGGTGGTGAATGAATTAATTGATTGAATGCAGCAGCAGGTGCAACATTAAATAATCCAAGAGGATTCGCTGGTGGTGGTGGTGGTGGAGGTGGTAGTGGTGGTGGTAATAAATTTTTATTTGAATGATGATTAAGATGTGGATGATGATTTTGATGATGATGTGGTTGATGTGATGATGAAGATGATGATAATTGTTGATTATGACGATTTTGATGATGATGATGATGATGATGATGAGGTCCGATCATAGGACCACCACCATCAACATTGTTCATTATTTGCATATTATCATTTAGATTTGTATCGAAAAAATTTGAATTAATAAAATTATGTCCAGCTGTCATTGTATCCATGTTTGGAGAAGATGCAACATTTTGATAACCAGGACCACCACCATTATTTGGATCTGATGAAAATATACCCGGAGGTGTGAATGAATCCAATTCGTTGAAGCTAGTAAACAAAACAAAACAAAACAAAAAAATATTTTGAATAAATCATTAATCAAATTCTCTCCAAAATAAAAAAAAAATTATTACAAATCATAGCCATAATTCGGTATGGATGAATCACGTTTCTGTATGGCTGTAGATGGATATCTTTTTTGTTGTAGACGACGATTAAATAATGGAATGGAATGATTTTTATTCAATGACGACGACGATGATGATGATGGCAAAAATAATGGAACAAATGAATCCTGTTGTTGTTTACGTTGTTGATGTTTTGTCATTGCATAAACAATAATCGTCATATACGTAACTAGCAATAGATGAATAATGATGATTAGCTTATTATTCATATTGTTATTATATCATACGAAATGAGTGGAAATATAGAAAAAGAAAAAAAACGAAGATAATTAATACAACATATGAAAAATGATATCTGATTCGTGGTCGTCTTGATTTATCGAATGGATCACTTAAAATCATCACTTATCAATTGAAAAAAAAAAAACTATTCGCATTCGATTTGAATGATTGAATGATGATACAAAAAAAACAATAACCATTGAAGAATTCGAATGAAATATTTTGAAATCTTTCGATCGTGAAGAAAAAATGACAAAGAAAACCTCACACCTCTTACCCGTTACCGTTGGAGAAAAAGGAAAGAAAAAACAATAACCGACAATGGTGTAGATAATTTGAAAAATAAAAAGAGCAATTGTTATATATCTGGTATATTGTCATTATTATTGATGACAACTAGCTCTCATCATCATTATACATGAACCAAATGCAGTAGAAAAAAAATCAAACAACATTGAAAATAATAGAAAAAACAAGAAAGAAAGAAAGAAAGAAAGAAATGTACGTGGGAAATTTCAATGAAGAATAATCAACGTTTTAAAACGTAATATCAAGAAGATCAATTTGATTCAATCGATCTATTCGGGTATTCGGGTATTTTTTTTCCTTCAAATCGATTTTTATAATTGAATTTGTTGACAAGCAAGTTCTTTGCCAATAATTTTCATTGTCATTTTAAGAGATAAGATTTACGATTGATGGATGGATGGTTGGTGTCCGAAAAAAAAATCAAAATTGTAATTGAAACGTAATCAACCAAGACGTGAAAGAATCTTAATTCAAAAACGAAAAAGACAAAGAAGAAAAAAAATCTCCTTTGTGTGTCTGTCTGTCTGTCTGTTTTCTTCCATCGGTCATCATTGCATTGCATGGATGAATTTTTTTTTTTTTTAGTATTCCTCATGTCAACATGTGACATTATTTAGTACAGAATTAAAGGTCATTGAACATTGATTGATTTGATTCAAAAAAAAACAGTGTGTGTGTGTGTCGTATTTGATAACCAAATTGACAATCGTTCCGGTATTCAAAAAAAAAAAAAAAACAAAAAAAATCCGATTGTATCGTTTTATATTTTGATTCAATTTCAATTTCGACCTGTCGATCATTGTTTATACTTATTATAATGAAAAAAAATACAATCGATATCCGTATCGATTATCATCACAATAAATTATATATGATGATGATGATGATGAATACATTCAAATTGATAGATTTCAATGGATAATTCAGAATGAATTGAGCAAAAAAAAAATGTTTAAAATTGTATCATTTTCTATACTTGGATGATGAGAAGCTATTACAATGTTTTCGTAATTGTATGGTGATCAAAAAAAATCCGTGTTTTCCATATATGTACATATGTACAGGATTTATATCTAAAAACATCAGATAAAACGATGAGAGAACAAGAGAGAGAGAGAGAGAAAAATTGTAAATGTTATATTACAATACAAGAATGGAATTGGTGATAAACAACTGATAATTTGTCATGGCAGCCTAATCGATATTGAATATCGTTGTGGTTGTTGTTGTTGTTGTGATTTTGATAACAGATTTTCAATCAGATAGTTTTAAATTGCCATCATCAAAAAAGATAACGGCAATTTTTGATTGTTTTTTTGTTGTTGTTGTTATTATTATTTTGCCCTCACACGACGATCGATTCACAAAATCAATCGATGGATAAAATGTTACCACACACCCCTTTCGATTGATTTATTGTCTGTGTGTGTGTGTGTGTGTTTCTCTTTTAAATAAGTCTTATATTATAAATGTGTTTATAGAATAATGAATATCAACGATAAAATTCGTGTTGATGATGATAATCTTAAAAATTATGAAATTAAAAAATTGGTTGGTCAAGGTGAATTTTGTGATGTTTATAAAGCTATAAATCGAAATGATAAACAAATTGTGGCATTGAAACGACTGAAAATACAGCATGGCCAAACACGTATTGAATGTTCACGTGAGATATTAGTGTTACGTCGATTGAATCATCCGAATATAATTAAACATTTGGAATCATTCTATGCACATAATGAAATTTATATTGTACTTGAATATGCTGATGCTGGTGATTTATCAAAAATGATAAAATATCTACGTGATAATAATAAATTATTATCTGAAATGGCAATTTTGAATTTTTTTGGCCAAATATGTGATGCATTGAATTATATGCATTCAAAATCTATAATGCATCGTGATATAAAACCAGCTAATGTATTGGTCAAACAGAATCGTACAGTTAAATTAGCTGATTTTGGTTTCAGTCGTTTATTATCATCGAATACAAAAAATGCCGATACATTAGTCGGTACACCATATTATATGGCACCTGAACGACTTGATAAATTAAAATATAGTTTTCCAGCCGATATATGGTCAATGGGATGTTTATTATATGAATTAATCATATTGTATCCACCATTTTATGAACCAAATCAATGTATAGATATGTTGATTAGAAAAATACATAAATTAGATTATAAACCAATCTATTCATCAGCATATAGTGATGAAATACGACAAATAATTGATAAATGTTTACGTTTATCACCAAATGAACGTTTGGATATACGACAAATATTGGTAAAGATTAATATGATCAAGCAACAACATTCAACATCGACAACAATGTTGAATAAAAATGAAGAATGTAAAAATTTTCATAATGATGATGATCATCATCATCATCATCATCAATTTGATTTCAAATTACCAATCACTAGACAACGGTCTAAATCTCATGGCCATCCTATGGATCAAATTGTAGATGATAATAATGATAATGATAATGATGATGATGATGATGATAATGTTATGGATATTAAACAAATTCATCATCATCATCAATCATCCACATCTACATCATCTCCATCATCATCATCGTCATCATTTCGATTGAAAAAATTTTATAAAAATATTAAAAATATGTTTTAAATTTTTTATTTTGTTCTTGTTGTATTTCCATCATCATCATCATCATCATATGTTTTAAACACACACATATAATTAATAATATCATATAAATGTGAATGAACAAAACTAAATGAATAAACTTTTAAATAATAAACAAACAAAGTTCAAATACCGATAAATAATGGGTGTTTTGATTTTGATTTTGATTTTTAAATGGCTGGGTTTTTACGCAAACCAAAAAAAAATGATGATGATTTTGCTTCATTTCATTTCATAATCATCAAAAAATCGCAGAAATGCCCAAAGTTGAATGAATCAATAATATAATTTATAAAAACAATTTTTATCGGCCGACACTAGATGGTGATATTGTTCCTATGTCGTTGAGTCATGAATATATATATATATATATATGGCAACTATGTATGAAACGGATTGTCTTTACGTGTATCCAACGTAATGATCAATATATATATATCATTGTATCAAATAGACTATACGTATATGAATTGATTTCATTGTGACTATAACCTTAAATTTGAGTAATCTTATTCTTTGTCAATATCGTATCGTTTACCCTTATTTCTTTTTGTCAATTCGTACAATTTCTGTATGTCTATCTATCTGACGATATACATTTTTTTTGGTGTGTTTTGGCATTTTTTGGATCTCGTTTAAATGATAATATTGGCTCGGTAAACGTTATTGGTGGCGCTATAATCGTCATCAATTTTAACGATCATTCATGTTATATGTGTGGGTATTATATGTGTTATAGCTTTTGTCTTGGATAAATTGTAATCGGAGTGGCACTGTTTTTTTATTTGTTGTATATCATTTCAATAATATCATCATGCGTTTGTATTCACATAATTCTTTGATTATCTTTTACTGACATTACTGATTATATATTCATTATATCTGTGAAAAATATTCAGACACATTTAATTTTCATTATTCTAAATAATATTTTGGTCTGTATGATAAATTTTTTCATATGTTTAATCGTTCCATAATGATGATGGCAACTTCATTATCATCATCATCATCAACAGCCGCATCATCGACAACATCATCGATATCGGTATTGCCTTGTAATAATATTATTTCATCATCAACAACAACAACAACAACAATGTCAACATCGAATACAATGGCTCTATATGCATGTACCCGTTGTAATTCTCGTTATCCATTTGATGATCTTTCTGATGGTGAAATGCTTTGCAAGGTTTGAAGTTCATAAATTTAATTTATAAACCACACACAATGACTAATATTCTAATTTTGTTATTTAAAAAAAAAATAATAGGATTGCCGGGATGCATTTGTCATGGTCAAATGTACTTATTGTCGATCGGAATTTCAACAGGATTCAAAATCTAATCTGAGCTCAATCTGCCGTAAATGTGACCAAAATATTAAACTTTATGGAAAAGTAATTTTCAATAATAAATGTTTGATGATGTGAATACCATTTTATAATTTTTTTTTAAATAGCCAACATTATGTGAATATTGCAATATAACTGCAGCTTTTGTTGGATCTAAATGTCAACGTTGTATGCATTCAGAACAACGATATGGTCCTCCGGTTACATGCGATCAATGTAAACAACGTTGTGCATTCCGTCGTAAAGATAAATATGATCCAAATAGACGTCTAGATAGTGATAGAAAACTATTATGTTGGCTATGTACAATGTCATATAAACGTGCATTGGCAAAAGCTAAAAATAAACAATCATCATTACAGAATTCGAATCTAAAACGTGAACATTCAAGTCGTTCAAAATACAAGTAAGATTTTTCATTATTATCAAATTAAATTGATAAAATAATGTCTTTTTTTCAAAATCAAGACAAGAACATGGAGGCTCAAACGGTACTAGTGGTTCCAATAACACAAACAATTGGGATCATCGTGATGGTGGATCATCATCATCATCATCAAATAAAAAACAATGCGTTGATTATGTTAAATCATTTATTAAAACAAGTAATGGAACATTTTTACCAGCACCGGCAACAACAGTATCGATGTCGTCATCGAATAATTCTAGTACATCATTATCGGTTACTTCAAATATAGCACCAGTTACATCGACAACAACATCGATGTCGATTGATGCCAGTAATGATATCATGTCCGTTAGCGATAATGTTGTCGCTGTAACACAACTTCGTGAGAAAATCTTATCACTTGATAGACAATTGAAAAATAAGAACCAAGAATTGCTCAAAAAAGATGTCAAGGTTTGTATATATTTTATTTACATTTCATTTATACTTTGTTATAAATAATTTATCTTCTATTTGTTTTTATATATTATATTAATTAATTATAATAGATTAATGAGCTAAAATCAGAAATCAGTAAGGAACAACGAGAATGTCGAGAAAAAATTCAAGACATGACTCGTAAACATAATGAACGAATACAGGAACTGCAGCAAAAAGTAACGAATCTGAATAAACAATTAGCATCGTTACAGAAAGCTTCGAAAATTAAAAATTCAATAAACAATTCAAGTAATAACACCGGTAACGATAATAATAGTCCATTGAGTTTTTCATGAATTTTTCAAATCATCGTTAACATCATCATCATCACTTATATCAATCATTTCTAACAATCATCAATTAAAATCGACTGCGAATCGTTTTTTTTTTGTTAGACTTCGATCAAATCTTAAGCATTGCATTTTGTTTGCTATACTTAAAAGTTGAGTGATCACATTTTTATTATCATCATCATCATCATCATCATCATATTCATATTTCATGATATTACGTGAATTTTTCTGACAAAATAAAATTGTGGAAAATACACAAAACTATACACACACACACACACACATAATCATAATCATACTCATACACAAAAACGAAAAACAAAACATACATTAATAGGATCAATCAATTCATTAACACTCGATCTCTATCTGTCGCTATTGTTGATATGTATCGATAAAAACAAAACAAATCGAATCGAATCATCACGTTTTATTATTTTCTAACAATTAAAACAATGAGACAGTGAGAGAGAAAAAAAATATTGAGAAAAACCTTAAACACTCATCAAAAACTTTTGTATACAATCTATATAGATTTGAATCGAACTTATGATATATATATAAATATATCATACATACATACAACAAACCATAAACTAAAAAAAAACGAAAAAAACATTCACTCAACTATCCCAACTATTGTTTGTGATATAATATTTTTCAAATGTTTTTTTTCCTTTGTCCAAATCTTTTTTTTTTGAATTTCGAATAATTTTGATCGACATGAATAAATTGCAAAAAAAAATCCATTTTCTGATCCATTTTGAATTTGATGAGAAAAAAAAGAAGTTTTTGTGTCATGTATTCTTTTATTATACAAAATAAAAACACACACACACACACTCACCACACGCCTTTCAATGTGTAAACATTGTACATATATTCAATTTAAAAAAAAAATAAACAATTGATAATTTAAATTTTTAAAAAATTAATTAATTCAATGATGATGATGATGATGATGATGTTTTTATTTTGTGGTCAGATAAATTATCATCACCATCTATTTATCATTGTTGAGTACAACTTTACCCATCATTGGACGTTTAATTTCCAATGCTTCATATGCATCGATGGCTTTATCGAAATCATAAACATTACTTGTAAATGGTTTTATCATACCACGTTCAACCAATTGAGCAATATATGCTAATGCTTTTGGATTAGGTAAATAATATGCCCAACGAAAACTGATACCATGTTGAATACCATTCAATGTATCGATCAATGCATCGGAGATTGTACTCATTGTACCAGATAATAAACCATAACGATCATAGTTACGCAATAATGGTGAACTAAGTGTTACGTAGATTGTACGTTTACGGTCAAAAACAGGTGTCATTGGACCAGAACGACTAGGGATTGTATTCGAATTCTGTTGATTTTCATTTACAACCGATTTGATTATGTCATAATTTTTTCTTGATGCCGATGCTGATGAGGCATCCAAAATCAAATCAAATGTACCACGATAATCACGAAGAAATTCTTCCATTTTCGTATAATCGATACATTCATCTGCAGATGTCAACTCTTTCAATGGTTCGATTGTTTTTGCCGAACATGTTGTAATGACATTAGCGCCCCAAAATTTTAACAACTGAATTGCGAAACATCCAACACCACCACTGCCACCAAGAACAAGAACACTGAAATTAAAAAGAAAACAATTGAAATTAAAATGAATCGATGACTATCATGATGAAAAAAAAATCATACTTTTTGTTATTACTGTTGTGTGCATTCAATTCACCGAATGTTGATAATGATGACCAGGCAGTCAATCCAACATAAGGCAAAGCAGCAGCTTCAACGTTTGATAAATTTTTCGGCTTATAACTGATAGCGTTATCCGATGTGATAACATAATCAGCATGTGAACCATTCTCATATGGAGGCACTGTTCCCCATACAATATCGCCGGGTTTATAATTCCAAATACTTTGACCTTTTGAAATGATTTCACCAACAAAATCACGACCAGGTGTTACTGGCAATCGGCCATAGGTGAGTCGATCAATACCATGTGACATGACCGTATTGCCTAATGATAACATTACATTACCATAACCGCGACTCATTTCAATGTCCAATGGATTGACACTTGATGCCAATACTTTAACCATGACTTCATTGGGACGATTTAATATCGGCACTTGACTACTTGAATTGAATTGAATTGCACGTTTTAAATCCTGATCAAATCGTACGATATTCCATGAACGTTGACTCAATTTACGATTGATCGTCTCCAAAGGATAATTTCGTTGACGGCAAATGGTTGTAATGATTCTTTTCGATGCAATATCCATGATCATTGTATTGTAAAGACGAATGGGGGATACAGTTTTCAAAATGCAAATGAATTTTCAAACAATATGATTATGACAGATTCTTAAATTGTCGTCAAAATAAATTGTTTTTCGTTATCGTCCAATAAGAAAAATAGTAGGAGGAGCGAATGAAAAAAAAACCACAATATCAGGTTCAATATTATCGGCTATATGAAAATTGAAACGAAAAAAAAAAAATTTTTTTCGAATCAAATGATAATATAATATTCGTGAGAATAGAAAAAAAGGAGAAAGCTTCGAAATTTTTTTTTATAAATAAAATTGTAATGAAAAACAAAAAACAAAACAAAACAAAACAGAAAAAAAAATTTCAAGAATTGCTTCAAGATATACGATTAAAATATTTTGACATAGGCATAATGATCTGTTTATTGTAATGTAATCGAAACAAGATGAACATAATATTCGTTATTATGATATTCGTTCTTGTATCGAAATGGAAAAAATAATGATGCTGATGCTGATGCTGATGATGATGATGATCATTGAACAATTAAATTTATTTTTGCAACAAAAAATCATTCAATTTATATACGGATAATTTGTACTACAAAAAAAAATGAAATTTTTTTTTTTGTTATCTTTTCCAGTCGTCCGGAACTTTGGATCATGCTCATCATCATCATCATCATCAAGTTCATCATTCATACATACATAATCGATTCATAGTTTGTTTCAATTTATCCAACCAAATCGATATCAATAATAAAAAAAATGATCATTCGATAAAATATGTGATGTGTGCGGGCGCGCTCTAGCCTAATTCATTGAACGGACTAGATAGCAAAACAAACAGAAAAAAAGAACGAATCGAATCAAATCTTTTGTCATTTAGTCATGTTATTAACACAAATAAATTTCTAAAAAAAAAATATAAAAAAAATTTTTCCCCAGTTCATTGATATAATTATACGAAATGGATTTGTTTTTTATCGATACTTGATACGACGATAAATCAACGATGAGAAAAAAAAAATTACTTGTACATCATCATATAGTTTTTTTTCGTTTGTTTGTTTGTTTGTTTGATATTTTGGATCGATAAAATCATCAAAGAAAAATTTACATGTACAAATTGATGATAATAATAATAAGAGAAAAAAACACATATAAAGACGTCAATGATTAGACACGTTGCGATAATAAATTGTCTTATTATGGATGTAGAGCAGAAAAAAAACCGTACCAGAAAATAAAAATGATTTTTTTTTTTTTTTTTGTTCAAAATGATAACCAAATTATGGCCATACTTAAGCTACATACAAATATGAGGTGGTTATGGTTATATCATCATCATTTATTTAAACGTTTGTCCATGTAGAAGTAGAATGATAATAAATCAATCATAAAAATGTTGAAGATGATGATGATGATGATGATGATGATGATGATGATGATGATGATGATAAATGAAATGAATGGCTGACTAGAATGCTGATGGATCAACATAATAACGGACGGACGGAAATTTAAATGAAAAATCAACAATCATATGACATTTTCATTGGTCTTGTGACACGAAATTATGTCTAGCAAATCTTCATGAACATCTCGATATTGATATAACTTTATCGGTGGATATCATTTTTGTTTTTTACATAATCATCATTTAACATAGGTAAGCAAAACAGTATAACCAGACTATACAATGATTTTATTTGTAGCTAAAATAGGAAATTTTTTTTTCTTCTATATTTACCTCTACTAAAGTGATTAGATAATTAAAAATGTGTAAATGAATGTGAAAAATGAAAGAAAAATAAAAATGATGATGATAAATTCTAAAAAATGTTTAAACATCGAGCTTTGGATCATGATTGATCAATGTTTTCAATCATCTGACAGCATCATTATACTTGCCAAAGAAAGAAATTCAAACAAACAACACCATACGATCAAAATGATGATGATGATGATGATTGTTTAGCTGATTCCATTTTGAAAATGAACATATTTCTAATTTTAAATCTCATATATATCGATATCAGAACAATCAAAATGCGAGAAAATTCGACATAATTTGAATATATGACAAAGAAAGCTGAAATATTTTTATTTTAGTTTTAAACTTACTTTTAGTATTGACGAATTAAATAAAAAATCAAGATTAAAAAAAGAATTTTTAACGGCAAACCAAATTTAGAAATTCCAATATCCAAAATGACAAGAAAACACATGTGAGAATAATAAATAGAATAATATAGAATTCGAAAAAATACCAATAACAATCGAATTACCGGTTTCGATAGTCTCGTTCATCATAAATAGTCGCCACTGTTTTACACATCATACAAACACACACACAATTATTTCTGTACATACATATGTTTTGGAATATGATTTCTTTTTTCTAAAAAAAAGCTTATGTGATATGTGTTTGTTTTTTTTTATTTCTTGAAAATTTTATGATTTGATTTGAAAAAATTATTAATTAATGCTTTTTAAAGAAAATTATTATCGCTATTTTAATAGCAATATTACAGTAGTGTATGTTGAATTTATCAAACGAAAAAAAAATTGAACAAAATTTCGAATTCGAATTTTCCTTGTTTATCCATAAATAGGTTACAAAATGAAATGAATTTGATTATCGTTTTCAATCGAAATTTTCATTAGATGATCATCATTTCTTTTTCCATCAATCATCTTCCAATAAGTTATTATTATTATTATTTAAAATTTATTCATACAATGTAAGTGAAATTTTTCAATGTTATAATCTCCTCATCATAATAAGTATTATAATTTTTATATAATATTAAAGAAAATATAGAATACGTTTCGTAAGAAATGGAAAGTATTCGAAAAGTGGATGCTGGTGAATTATCCTATGAAGATGTATGTAGAAAATTAAATACAAACATTGAAACTGGTCTTGATTGGAATGAAGCTAATCGTCGTCTACAGATTGTTGGCCATAATGAACTTAATGTCAAACAAGAAGAAAGTCTACTTAGTAAATATATAGAACAGGTAGCTTTTCATTCATTCCTTATGATTGATTATTATCTAATTAATTTGATTTCGATAACTTTTATTTTTTGCTTAATTTGCAGTTTCGAAATCCTCTCATCATACTTCTATTATGTTCGGCATTTGTTAGTGTTTGTATGCAACAATTTGATGACGCATTCAGTATTGCGGCGGTTAGTATTGAACATTTTATTGCAATTTTTTTTGATTTCATTTTCATTTGTAATCTTAGGCCATTATCATTGTTGTTACGGTGGCATTTGTACAAGAATATCGATCGGAAAAATCATTGGAAGAACTAAATAAACTTGTGCCACCAACATGTCGTTGTATACGTGAAAGCAAGATTGAAACATTTTTGGCACGATCATTAGTGCCTGGTGATATTGTTACATTGGAAACTGGTGATCGAGTTCCAGCTGATCTTCGTCTCGTGCAATCAATAGATTTATCCGTGGATGAAAGTAGTTTTACCGGCGAAGCTGAACCCGCACATAAATCATCCGAACAAGTGCAAAATGCATTGACTAATAATGCCAATATTGTATTCATGGGCACACTTGTTTGTCAGGGAAAAGGCAAAGGTGTTGTTATTAGTACCGGAATACGATCTCAATTTGGTAAAATATTTCAATTGATGCAATCTGAAGAAGCACCAAAGACACCATTACAGAAAAGTATGAACATATTGGGCAAACAGCTTTCATTCTATTCGTTTGGAATAATATTTTTGATTATGTTCCTTGGTTGGATACAAGGACGACCATTAATGGAAATGTTTAATATTGGCGTATCGTTAGCTGTTGCAGCTATACCGGAAGGTTTACCTATTGTTGTTACCGTTACGCTTGCCCTTGGTGTAATGCGTATGGCCAAACAAAATGCTGTTATCAAACGTCTACCAACTGTTGAAACATTGGGATGTGTTAATGTAATATGTTCGGACAAGACTGGAACATTGACCAAAAATGAAATGACAATCACCTCAATAGTGACATCAGAATTATTTCATGCTGAACTTTCTGGTATTGGTTACGATAGTTTGGTTGGAGAGATTGAATTCAAAGCGAACAATGATGAATCAACGAAACGTCAATTAGAATCGATACAACGAATGCTCAAAGTTGGTTGTATTTGTAATAATGCTCACTTAGTTAATGGTCGTTTATTTGGACAACCAACCGAAGCAGCTATACTTGTTGCTGCCCGCAAATTGGATGTGACCGATATTCGTCAACATTATGAACGATTAGAAGAAATACCATTCTCTTCGGCCCAGAAAATTATGGCCGTCAAAGCAATTATGTTGTCCAACAATAGCAATAATAATATAAAAGAATCGTCCCTCATTAGCGATGATCATGGTGATTTTACATTCACCAATAATTGTGCCAAATATTACGTTAAAGGAGCTTTAGAGGTTTTACTTCCAACTTGTACAAAATATGCTTTTATTGATAAAACAGTGCCTCTTGATAAAAATCGAATGGATCAATTCCATGTGGCAGCACAAGATTTAGGCCGTAAAGGACTTCGTGTTCTTGCCTTTGCTTACGGTCCAAACATGAATGATCTCACTTTTGTTGGAATGGCAGGCATATTGGATCCACCTCGAAATGGTGTACGTGAATCAATTCAGGCATTAAAATCATCAACTGTTGAAGTAAAAATGCTTACTGGAGATTCAAAGGAAACAGCCTGTGCAATCGGTCAACGTCTTGGTCTTTACGTTCCAGATAAATTGCCAATTTCGGGCGAAGAAATCGATCAACTTGATGATGAATCATTCGCCAATATTGTTAGCCGTATATCGATATTTTATCGTGTAGGCCCTAGTCATAAGCTACGAATTGTGAAAGCATTACAAAGCCATGGTCTAATTGTTGGAATGACCGGTGATGGTGTTAATGATGGTGTTGCTTTGAAAAAAGCTGATATCGGTATTGCTATGGGTAAATCAGGAACTGATGTTTGTAAAGAAGCTTCCGATATGATTCTGGTCGATGATGATTTCCATACAATTATGTTAGCCATCGAAGAGGGTAAAGCTATTTTTTATAATATACAGAATTTTGTTCGTTTCCAGCTAAGCACGTAAGTTTCTTATTATCAAAAAAATCACATTGATTTTACAGCAATTAATTTTTGTAAAACAAACAGGAGCATTGCTGCCTTATCATTGATTGCCATTTCTACATTGGTACACATTCCAAACCCTTTGAACGCAATGCAAATTCTTTGGATCAATATTATTATGGATGGTCCACCTGCTCAAAGTTTAGGCGTCGAACCAGTTGATCCGGATATAATATGTCAACCACCAAGAAATGTTCGACAGCCAATGATCACTAAAGATTTGATATTTAATGTTCTAGTTTCAGCTATCATAATCATATTAGGTACTTTATTTGTTTTCATCCAAGAGGTAAATATTTCAATTCAAATATTATTTGATTATGATTCAAATTCTAATCATATCATTATGAAATTTATTCAGATGAGTGATAATGTTGTTACGCCACGAGATACCACAATGACTTTCACTTGTTTTGTTTTCTTTGACATGTTCAATGCATTAAGCTGTCGATCTCAGGTATGGCTATGTTTTAAAAAAATCAATCAATTAATATTTGTTTTATTATTTCTCATTTTTTGAAGACAAAATCTATCTTTAAAATTGGCCTTATGAAAAATCGGCCATTTTTATTCTCCGTTTTATTATCATTAATTGGTCAATTATTGGTCATTTACGTTCCTTTTTTTCAACGAATTTTTCTCACCGAATCATTGACAATACAAGATTTATTATTCTTATTATGTATCACATCAACCGTATTTATTGTATCGGAAATACGTAAATATTTTTGGAAAAAAACCTACAAAAAACATATGTTTATGATTGCCAAGGAAAAAATGAATATGGTCTGAACATTTTTATTTTCTATATTTTTTATCATAATCAAACAAAGAAAAATTCACATCTTTACCCGGCCCCCACCTCCTTACTATAAATATAAACTTTTTTCTTTTTGTTCTTCTTATCTCCTTGTATCCCTCCTTAATTTGTTTGTAATATTATCAATTTCATCCAACTTTTTTTTATATATACAAATACATCTTACTAGTCGTGATTGGGGAAAAAAAATTCTGTGCACACAATGTTATGTTGTGTTTGACGAAATTTGTGATTCTTTTTTTCCCCTTTTTTTTATTTTGTCATTTTTCATTTTCACTAATCGGTATGATTTCGATTTTGTTTTTTTTATTCACAATGAAACGAAAAATCTTCAAATAGGCGAAAAAAATTTATAATGATTGAAAATATAGAGAAATCTTTTTTTTCATTCATTCATTCCATTTGTTTTTGATTCTAATATTATTATTTATTAATATTAATGTGTTTATAATAATAAAATAAAAAGTTTTACAAATTGATTGATTCCTCTCAATCTATTAATAATAATTTATAAATAAAAAAATAACAGATGGCGTAGCTGTCATTTAGAAATCTATTTAACAACAAGTAAACAAATCGCTCACAGATGCACATTTTTTTTTTTAATTTATTTATTGTGAATCGAGTAAAGGTTGTGTGGAATTATTATTCTTGTTTTAAAAATCAATCAATTTTTTTCCCCAAAATAAAATTTACATATTTTATCAATTCATCGAAAATAATTTCTTTTTCATTAAATATTCAACAAAATGAGCTCAAATGATTGTCAAACATTTTATGATATTCTTCACATACAAAATGATGCAACAATCGATCAGATTAAAAAAAGTTATCGTTCATTAGCATTGAAATATCATCCAGATAAAAATCTGGATAATGTTGTTGCAACAACAGCCATATTTAATCGTATACAAGAAGCATATGATATACTTTCCGATCCAGAGAAACGTAATTGGTATGATAATCATCGTGATGTATTCCATAAAGATTTAATTGATGTTTCCGAATATGATATTGATGAAAAATATTTTCAACCATATTGTTATAATGGTTATAATGATGATGATAATGGTTTCTATACTGTTTATCGTAAATTATTTGAAGATATCATTGCACAAGAACTTCGTTTCTATGATGATCCAAATGATTTTGAATATCCACAATTTGGTGATTCTAATAGTGATCTGAAATCGGTTAAATATTTTTATGATATGTGGCAAAGTTTCAAAACGGCCATTAGTTTTAATCAATTGGATAAATATGATATTCGACAGGCACCTAATCGTCGTTTTGGTCGTTTTATGGAAAGAGAAAATGAAAAAATTCGAGAACAAGCACGTAAACAACGAAATTTAAATATTCAGGTTAGTATAATCTTTTTGATTTTTGATTAAGTTTCATTTTTTTTTCATGTTTCTATTTCATTAGAAATTGGCCAAATGGTTACGTAGTAGAGATAAAAGAATGAAAAAATATGCTGAACATTTAGCCGAAAAGAATCGTGATAATAGGAAAAAATCTGAACAAGAACGGCGTAAAAAAATCCAAGAAAATTTAAACAATAGTAATAATTATGTTGAAACGAATGGTTTTAAATTATCGGAAGAACAATGGCAAGAATTGGAAGCAACACTCGATAATGAAATTGAAAATAAACGACAAATGAAAAAAGGAAAAAAGAATAAAACAACAACAAAACGGCCAACAGTTGATGATGATATTGTATATGATGAAATGGAAATCATTGAAAAGCAAATAGAATCCATCGATTTAGAATTACAATCACAAAATGATGGTGTTGATAACAATGATGATGATGATGATGATGATGATGAAGATTTACTTTATGTTTGTGATGTTTGTAGTAAAAATTTCAAGAGTTTAAATTCCTATAATAATCATTTAAAATCGAAAAAACATTTATACAATGTACGAATTTATGCTCAAATGGCTGCAAATGATAATCATGATTGATTAGTCAATTGAATTTATTCAATTTTTTTTCTTGTTATTATTATTATTATTATTATTTGGCATCGTATAAGAAATATAAAATGAAAAAATACCAAAAACATGCAAAATTAAAGAATTTTAATGAATTGAATTTTTAGAAAAAAAAAATTAAATTTTTCACAAAAAAAATAATTTTTGAAAACAAATGAAAAATGTAATGACAAGAATTGTGCGGCCTAAATAAAGGTCATTTACATTACAACGATTCAAACAGAATAATTCCTGTTCCTGATCTGATGCTTGAGCAAGACATTGTTCCAATGTTTGTGCCATTGATGATACTGGACAATGATTAAAATCATTATAATTTACTTCATCAATAATTCGATCATCATTATCTAAAATGCATCGATAATCTCGTAAGAGATAATCACCATCTGGATTTGATGAATTATAAACAATACCTTGATCCAAAAGCCATTTAAAATCACAGTCACATTTGAGCGGATTCTTTGCAACCGATAATATTGAACGACGTTTAAAAAAACTTTGAAATACATTTTGTGGAATCCTTGACAAATCATTGATATTCATATTTAAGTAGATTCTTCGCCTTAGGTGAGTGAATATACCAGGTGGTAATGCATCCGTTTGTATTTTATTGCTACGTAAAAATATACGTAACAAACTTTGTGTAGTGTTTTCAATCTCCAATGAATGTAATGATAATTTATTAAGATGATTACCATCCAAATTGATCAATTGTATAGTGTTTAAACCGGTGAATGCATAATCTTCAATACGTTCGATTTGATTATCGGTTAGAAATAATTCTCGTAATGCTGGTTGTGAACGATTAAATGCATGTTTTGGTATGAATCGTATGCCATTATCGGTTAAATGTAATGTATTTAGTGCAACAAATCGACTGATAGTATCGAATAATGCAACATTATCATCATGATTTGCGCCCAATAATTCATTATCTTCAATCATAATTTCTGTCGTAATATTACGTGATGAATCGAATGCATTTGGTTCAATACGTTTCAATCGATTATTACGTGACAATGAAATACGTCGAAATGAAATGCCGGAAAAAATATCATCAATCGATCCAATATGTGTCAATTGTGTTTGTACCAATTTCAATTCATCATAAACCGGTCTTGCATGTTGTCGATTTAATTCATTCTTTAGATTGATGAATATTTTTTTCAAATCAATATCCGATGTTATATTTGTACATTCAATAAGATTAAAATAATTGGCACATTTACATGGTATTATTATATCACGTGGTGGACAGACTGTGGATTTTGTTGATTGTGGTAAAATTATAAATACCGATATAATCATCGATATGAACAATGATTTTTGTTGTATGGACATTGTCGTGTTGTCTTGTCATTCATACATACATACAGATATACACACCCGTCGTGATTACACTCAATCAAATTCGACAGTCAACAGGATGAATAAATGACGAATGTTGTGAAACAAAACAAAACAAAAACAAAAACTAAAACAAAAAAAAATTGGATCAACTATTAGAAAAATATGTAGGCGCCAACTCTATCATCAACAATTATTATTATTGTTGTTGTAATTAAAAGACCAAAGAGAATGGCAAAAAATTTTGTACACAAGACTTGAGCTAAATAAAGATTTTTTTTTGTTATTTCTTCAGGGTGTTTAGATCCATATTTGAGACACAAATAAATAAAAAAATTAGTAATGAATTTGTTGTTGAATGTCAATACATTTATTCAAATGAGTGATGATTTTCATTTTTATTTGTCGTGTTGAGTTCAGTTGAGTTGAGTTGAGTTTTTGGGTTGTGTGATTATAGCAGCCAACAAAATAATTTTTTTTTTTTGTTCTGCTTTCGAAATGTCGAGAATATTCTGTTGAGAATAGAAAATTGATTTCACGAAATTTGCACAATAATTATTCATATAATATACGATTGACTTGATTTGAATATGGAAATCAGCCAACAAAAAAATTTGCATGTTCTTAAGTCGATAAAATAGTTGTTGCTATTCTAATATAACTGACGGTTGATCCATTGACACGTGTTGATTTTTATGAATTTTTTTTCGTGTGGTTTCGTTGTTAATTGTTGGCAAGGATTTAATTGATGTATGAAATCATCATCATCATCATTACATTCAGAATAAGACAATATGACATATATTTTGTGACTAAGTTCATTGCAATTTATTTCATTTACTAATACTGATTCATACAAAAAAAAGAAGAGAAAGCAAAGCATTACATTTTCAAGTTTCAATCATCATCATCATCATTATCCTTGATCATGATGATCAACATCGGTAATGAAATGATATATACAGAAGAAAAAAATTTTATTACAGAATGAAATTCATGCGAAAAAAAAGAAGAAGAAAAATGGCTCCACCAAAAAAAAAAGATACGCTCCAAACATACGGTATAGTTTATACATCAACTACACCGTTTTGCCCCCTTTATACAATCCATTGCTAAACAAGATTCATGGTGAACAACATTTTCTTCTCACTCCACTCACCACCACCCCCCCACGTTTTTTAAATACACACACACACCCAGTACAAATTTTTTTTTTACCCTGGTATATAAATGTTCGTGTGTTTCTAATTATTATTATTACTATTATCACAACAACAACGTCAACTAACCAAAAAAAAAAAAAATGATAATTATAATGAAAAACTCAAATTGTTCTGATCGACTTTCCAAATTGTTTTACTTAAAAAATTTCTTTTTTTTTGTCTAAGTGAATAATGACGATGATGATGACTATGACGATGATTGAAACGAAATTGTCAGTACAATTCATATTAACCAAAAACACATCATGGCTCATGGTCGCCTACGCGCTCATAAACCATTTCAGGTTTATTTTTCTGCCTTCTTTTTTTTCCAATGTTTAAACGCTATATATCATTGCCACCTCAAACAACAACAACATCAAAAAGCAAAAAGAAAAGAAAAGAAAATCCACAATGATTTTGTTTGATGCTTTTGTTAGATTTTAAATTTTTATAATATATATATTTGTAAGATGGATTGAAAGATTGAGAAAGTGAGAGAAATAACGTTTCCTTATTTGTCACACACACACACACACACACAAGCACGCACACCTACAACAACTGTGAATACTGAATATTGAATGATGATGAAGATGAGGATAAGAAAAAAAAAATTCGGGTTATTGTTGATCGTTCTGGTCTCTTGGGTGGTGCTGTTGTTGATGATGGTGAGAGGGTTTGATTCTATTTTTTTTCTGATTACAATACAGCGATAACTCGGATGAAAAAAAAATTTCAATTTGTTACAAAGTTATTAAACAACCATTTTTTTCTGCTTTTGATGAAACATTTTTACTATCATCATCATCATCATCATCATCATTAATCGAGATACTACTGTACTTCCTAATTTAATTTCAACATTGTGTAGGTTTGTGAAATATTCGCCGTGTGTGTGTATAATAATGGCAACACACACACACACAAAAAACAAAGAAAAATAAAACCTGAACAGAATAGCAAGAGAGAAAAAAAATTTCAATAAAAATTTTTATCTAGAATAATTGGAATTTTTTTGAGCAAGCAAAAAAAAGAAAATTTCACGTGAATAATAATGAAATTGAATCTAGGCACATTTTAAATTCATGGATTAAATGATGTTTTTATTTTTATTTCTAATATATCAAACAACAGATGTTTATAAACTATAAACAGATGAATGAATGAATGAATGAAAAAAGCGAAAAAATTTTATTGCATTGAATGAATTTCACATGGATGGAATGAATGAATGAATGAAAAAATTCTGAAAAAAGGCTAGAATCAAATGAAATGATGAAATGTGATAATGTCATGAACAGATTTTTGACAATTTTTTTTTTTTTACTTTTATTACTACTAGCTTAGAATGAAATTAGTTTGGATCGGGATGTGTTCGGGTTGTTTTTGTTTTGCCAACATTTCATATAATTTGATATCATCATCATCATTATAATAATAATTGAAAAAAAAATAAATTTTGTTTTCATCATAGCAAAATTGTAATTGTAATATTAATTATTTAGATGATTGAAAATTTTTTTTGTTTGTTTGTTTGGTTTGATTAAACCAATGGATAGCTTGCAGCTGTAGCTATACCACATTGATTGTTTTTATTACGTGCCATTTTAATGAAACCATTCAATCCCCAACCAATACCCCAACTATTTTTAACCAGCCAATATTCTTGACCACTTTGTTCATCAACACCATAACCAACAACTAATACACCATGATCTAATTCGGTTGATGAACATTCTGGTTCATCATAAACACCACCATCATAGAATTGAAATGTTGGTTGTGATGCATCGATAGCCACTGATACTGGCCCAACAGTTGCTACGGCTTCTTTTAATTTTTGTTCATCACCTTGTGGTACATCCATAAAACCAGTGTCTGTGGCACCAACAGCACGTTGTGTATAACGGCATTTACCAACTTTACCTTCATATGGATAACTTTTTTCTGTATCAATGCCATGATTTGATTCAATATATTGGAAAGCATAATCCATTAAGCCACCATTACAGCCATTATTACCATATTTTGCTGAACAATCAACAAGATTTTGTTCACTCAATGAAACTAAATGACCACTTTTACGAGCATGTTGACCTTCCAAAGAACCAGTCTATATTGAAATATTGAAATTAACATTTAAGAATTTTAATTTCAAAAAATAATCAAATAATTAATTACTTACGGCACTAAATGACCAACATGAACCACAATGGCCTTGATTTTTGACCGGTGTTACAAGATTATGTTTTCGCCAATCAACTTCGCTTGGTACTTGAATATTATGTGGACTAAGGAAAAGACTGGCACCATTTTTTGTTTGTCGTGATGGATCATATTTATAGCCATTCATAATATGAACAAATTCATGATGCATTAAATCAGCAAATTCATTCAAAGAAAGTGTATAATTTTTTTCACCACGAGCAGCTTTTTGATTATGTTTAGCGATCAAATGTTTGTTTTCCATAAATACACGGAAACGGAATTCATCTTCATTAGCATCATATGATTTACGATGATAATCTTTATATGTATTCCATTCTTGTTGAAATAATTCTCTATAGCTTAAACAATTAATGAATGTAATTATTATGGTGAACAACAAAAGTAATGAATATTTCAAAAACATTTTGTAGTTCCAAAATTGATGTGAAAAAAAATGAAAGAAAGAACCAAAAAAAAAAAATTTGAAGAAAATGCGTATTCGTCAATTCGAACAAACTTAACAATTTTAATGACAACAACAAGCTATAGAAGAAGAGAGATGAAAATTGAAAATGAACTAAATAAAAGTCATTCAATCATCATGATCATCATGATGATGATGTTTATATTGATAATTTTTATATAGAAAAAGTGCAATCAAATCATCGTCGTATTTTATTATCAAAAATCAATCAATCAATGATTGCTCACATTCATGTGACTCAATTTTTTGTTGTTTTGTTCTTTATTTCGTTTTAGGTTTTTTTTTCGAGCAAAATATAGATTTTTTTTGTTCTCGTTAATAGAATTGATGATTGATGATTGATAGCATTGTCAATACAAACACAGACACATCAATAATCATCAATGGGATGAATGATCATTTTTCTGTGACTCGTTGTTATCATCATCATTATTATTATGTGTCCACGAGTCATATATTTTTCATGTGGCTATGATCATTGCTTTTGAAATGAACGTCGAAATAGAAACATTTGATTTGATTTTTTTTTTTCTCTCTCTCTCTAAATCTACGCATTAATTTTGAGAAGGGAAAAAAAATTTTCAATAAAAGAATCGTATGCAAATTGCAAATTATAATATATATTGAATCTATGAATAGAATTTTGAAATTTAAATTTTAGTAGAAAGGAAAACAAAATTGAAAAAATAGTCAATCTAGTAATATGTAGTCAAATAAAGTGCAAAATCGATTTGCAAGACCAGACAAAAAAAAACAACAAATTCACTACTTTTTTTTTCTTGCTGATGCAACCGAATGCACCTAAATCCATAGTCATCATTTGGATTTAGCATATTCATCAATCCAGTGAATAGAAAAATGCTAAACATTTGATCGATTAAATCATTTGATAGGATTCATTGAAACTTTTTTTTTTGTATACAATTTATTTTAGTTCATTGATTGAAATCTTTCTTTGGAAATGTTGAAACATTTCCATTAATCGGATATATGTGTGTGTGTGTGTGTTTGCGTCTGTGTGAATAAATGAAAAAAAAAAAGTTTTCTATTGACATTTTCTGGATCAATCGACCGATCTTCAATGATTATTGACACACACACACACACATATTGTTCTCTGAATCCAAACATCCATCCATTATTATTAAATTTTAAGAATCAATATTTAGATATAATTATCAACGAGTATCTATAATATAAAAATATTTATTCATTCCAGGAATCATTTTCATTTGATGATGATGATGATGATAGTAATGTGAATTGGATAGAAAAAAAAATATGATGATGATATTTGATCAGGACCATAAATCAGGTCGAAATTTCAAAAATTAAGATTGACAAATATTCAATAGTTGAAATTATCGAATGAATATAATTTTCTTTTGAATTGAATTTTTTTTCTGTATTTTTTTTTTTGTGTGTGTGTGTGTGTGTGTGTGTGTGTGTGGAGAAACTAAATGTACAAAAAAAATTTGAAAAAAAATGTTCAATTCGATTTTGTTATCGGTTTTGTATATATATTTTATTAAGTGAACAAAGCAGACACAAACAAACACAAGCAAACACAAACACACAGACAGATACAATGTAAATGATGATGATGATGATGATGATGATCATATTTTATTATGATTATAATGATAATGATAATGAAAAGAAAAAAAAATAATAAATGTAGATGTACGATAATAAAATAATGATCATATATTGATAAAGCTACAAATTTTCAACGGAAATCAAATTGTTTTACATGTCAATCCGTTATTTTTTTTCATCAATTCTTCTACTGTCCATTCAAATTGATTTGTTTAATAAATGTTTTTTACTCTGTTTAAACCATTTATTGTAGATAAAATAATGTTGGCTATTTCTTTGACATGTTTTTGTATCGATTTTTGTATCACAACCACCTTTTTGTTGATTAAAACGTTTTCCTTGTTCACAATCGAATCGATAGGCCATCATTTTACCTTTAGAAAATGATAAACATACAAAAAATTTTTGACAATCATTTGTTAAATCAGCATAAGCTAAACCATGAATTTTATCTTCACAGCTAAAAATTTCGGTTGGCACCAGAAATGATTCTGAACTTTTTGTACGTTCAGCCAATAATGATTCAGTTAATTTATGATTCATATGTTCTTCTTTACGTTGCTTTTGTAGGCTAATATTACGTTTACGTCGACGTCGTCGTCTATCTGATGTGTCATCATCTTCATGGTCATTACCATTTTGATTAATAGCCATATTCGTTATGGAATCCTTATTGGGCTGTTGATTCAATATAGTGGATTGTAATAATGTTGCTGCTGCATTTACCAGGCCAGTTTCATTATAATCACTGTAATCATATTCATAATCGGCAACACCTAAATCGGTTGGTTGTAATGGTTGTGGGGGTAAAGAAGGACGAGGTGTTGTTGTTGTCGTTGTCGATGTTGTTGTCGTACTAGTTGTACTGAATGTACGACTGTTTCGAAAATTTCTATTTATATTAAATGAATTGTGATGTGATGATGAAGATGATGTTGGCGCTGATGCTAATTTCGGTATCGGTTTGTTGTCCGACAATGATGATATGATGGGCAATGATTTCGGTGGTTTATTGCTAGAAGATTTCTGTGGCCTATGTGGAGCGGCTACTGGTTTTGACAACTCAGGCAATGTTGGTAAATCTACATGTTCACCTCGATTATCAATACTACCATCAATGCTATCATAATATCTAGCTGCCAATGGACAAAATACTATGTAAATAATAAGCAAAACAAAATAAACAAATTAGATTAGAAATTGAATTAGAATTCGGAGAAAAACAAATTCATTATTCATTGCTTTGATTATAAATAAATACAAATAAAAAAAACGAAGCATACCTTCTTCATGTGGCCGACAAACACGGGTAGCTTGTGAGAAGATGGTGCCATTAGGACAAGCAAAACTTTGAGCACTCATTGTACCGGTGGGATTCGGTATGCAAACATAATAAACGGCACATTTTGTTGCTGGATCAGCATAATATTGACCCGGATTTTTACCTTGACATGAGAATCCAGTCTTTGGATGATCATAAACATTGACAAATACTTCAACCTGTCGAGAAATTGGACCATTATATGCCTGACAATCGACCAATGATGAATTGATCCAAATAAAAACTATGATCAAAGGCAATAAGGTCAATATAAAATGATGATAATGATCTATGTATCGATGAATAAACAAAAAAATAATAATTGAAAAATTTCAAAGCCAAACATAAACATATTATAAAAGTTTACATTTTTGATCCATTGTTTTCAAAAAAAAAATCGATGAAAGAAATTCCAACACAACAAATGGCAAACAATTCACGAATGATACTACAATGATTATAATGATTCAAGTCTGAACACTTGTTGTTGTTGTTTTTTTTTTTTGGACCGTTCATTTATTCATCAATCTCAGATATGTTTCGTTCTCTCTTTCACTTCACTTGTTTATTATTATTATTTATACACAACTAGGATCATCAAAAAAAAAAAAAAAAACATTTCACGACATGATGACACCTTGGCCATACAACATCAGTCTGATATACGTAAACCAAAAATGAATGAAATGAAAACACAATCGAATCAATTTCATCTAAATAATCTTTTATATCTAGTCAAACTTGATTCTCTTTGCGTCCATATAATATTGTTGTGTGTGTGTGTGTGTGATGAAAAAAAAAAAAAAATCAAGTTCCTAAAAAAAAAATAATAAATAAGGAACAACAAAGAAAAGAGTCCAAAACAGACATTGTCGTTTCGAATATTTTCCCAAACAACAAACAAACAAACAAATGAATAACGGTGAAAAAAGAAAAAAAAAAAAAAGATTATGGGGTCAGTAGGATAGGTCGATGTTGATGATGATGATGATGATGATGATGAAACGAAAAGAAAAACATTCATTCATTCATTATTTGGACAAAGAAAAAAAAGGTGTGTATAGTGTGAAAAAAAAATTTTTCATTTCATTTTTTTCACCTTCCTCCCATATTGGTAACAGATAACAAAAAAGAGAGAGAGAGAACTGTCGGGATCATATATATATATTCAAATTCAAATTTATTATGTCAAATTCAAAATTCCGAATTGATCGGATCCTATTTTATTTCTTTCTTTTTCTTTCTCTCTCTCCCCCCCTCTCGCTCTCATTCGCTTTTCTTTCTCTCTTCTTGTTATTGGTTCACACAACACACCATTGATCCGTGATGCGAAAAAAAAAATGAATTATTTTTCTGTTTTATTTTGGTTTCACATTCACGATGATCATCATCATACAATGGTGTGATGTTTTTCTTTCTGCAGAAGATGATGTGTAGTTTTATTTTGTCGGGAATGTGGGAGATTTTTGATTTTTTTTCGTGTTGGCTAATCTCTAAAAAAAAATGATAATTTTGGTCTTTTTCTTCTGATCTAACATTTGAACAATTGATTCAGGACAGGCTAAACAATCAAAAAAAAAAAAAAAAAAAATTTTTCATTCTGTTCATGTCACAACAGACTTTGTTTTTATAGCCCAGAACAATCATCATCGCTCACAGTTTTTTTTTATTATTATTATCTGATATATGAAATTAATGTTTTTGATATGATTTTCTTTTTTCGTTGCTGAAACTATTATAGTCGCAGTATCATCATCATCATCATCATCATCATAATCATGATGAATAACACACACACACACACACACACACATGCTGGGCCAAAGTAAAATTGAAAATTATAAATAACTAAAAATAGATTTTGGCCAAACAAGAAAATTTTGTTGTTGTTGTTTGTTGCTGTTTGTTTGTTTGAAACGAATGAAGAGAATGGATTTGGCCCAGCATTTATTTATTTATTTATTTATTTTTTTTTTGCTATGATAAATGCATTGAATTAATGTTTTATTTTCTACACTAGCCTTCTATTTTTTTCTAGCTAAAAAAATCATCATCATCATCATCGATGGTATATAAACAATGGCATCAACAATAATATCGATATAATAATTGTATAATACTAGAGATATTGGCAAAAGATTTGATTTGTGTTTTCCATAACAGGAAAAAAAATAATATCAAAAGTCAAAGAATTCTGATTCAATCCAATGATTTTCATCGAATTGTCATTTGTTATTATTTTTTTTTGGCATGGATAAAATAATCATACAGATCAAATGACAAAAATCTAGAATCAAATGGGATTCATATTCATTCATTGGATAGAGACAAAATGTTAATGATGATATCCTATGAATGATGAGGAAAAAAACATAAATAAATTATATTTGTTCAATGTTGAATTCAATGTTTTTTGCGGTTTTCTGTTCTGAATCTTGGTTTATATTGGAATATTCTTAAATTCATTTGATATTTGTACATGTTTTTATGTTGTTGTTGTTGTTTTATTTTTCTCTATAAATAGAATTCCAATAAAAATCAAATTAACTCATGAGATTGAATATTTGAGATAGAAAGAGAGAGAGAGAGAGAAAAAAAGAAATATAGACATTTCTCATTTGATCATTACATTAATCTTATGATTACTGAAAAAAAAGTCAAACTAAAGTATATAAAAGTTTTATTTCATTAAAAATCCTGCACAGCAAATAATTAACGATGAAATCAAACGGGAAATAATCAACACAAAAGTTTTCCACAGAATATTCCATTTTACTTTATCAGATTTACAAATGATGATGATTATAATGATTATGATGATGATGAAGGATATTTTTTTTTATCTAATGAAAACTTTTTACATTTTTATTCATCATCATCATCACTATCATTTTATATTCAATTATGAATATGTTGAACAAAACACATAACAAAAATTGAGTAATAGTCAAAAAATGCACAATATACAATACGTTGTTTGGTTGATGTTGAACCAATAAAAAAAAAACTATGGCCATATGACAAAATGACAAAATAAAAACTCAAAACAAAATATTACTCAAATTTCATTTGGATATCTTATTTCGTTCATTTTTCGTTTTCGCCAATAATAATTGTTATTATTGAATGACCGTATAAAATAAAGGATTGGTGACATGTCATGACCAAAAAAAAAAATTTCATGTTCAAACATTTGATTTTTTTTCTGCGATTTAAATAAAAACATGTCATGGAAAAAAAATTTCCACTCAAACATTTGATTTTTTTTTGTTTACTTTCTACATTGTGAATATCATCAAAATTTGATTTTTTTTCTCCTTTTAATTCAGTGTGCAACAAATTAATAATGGATGATTCTGATAGTGTATATTATTCATGCGAAGATTTTTCAGATTCGGAAACAATTTCATCCAATGATCGTCGTAAAAGACATTATCATTATCAAAACTGGCGCCAAATAAAAATTTTTAATAATAATGAAGAACTTGTGGAATTTATTGGTAAAAATTGGAGTAAGTGGCGTCGAAATGATAATGAGAAATATTTGAAACATTATTACCGATGTAACAAGGTAATTATATGATGTGTTCAATATATGATAATATTATTTTTATAATTTAATCGTAATTTTTCCAGGTAAAAAGAAAAGACAAACAATGCCGAGCACGCATCTTTACCTCATATGACAAATTTTCTAAATTAATTCATTTATATAAAAACAACGAAAATCATAATTGTGATAAAATCATCACAACAAATAAACGACTAACAAAAGAATTGAAAAACAAAATAATATCGTTGATTGAAGAAAAACAAAAACCAAAACAAATTTATGAAAAGCTAAAGAAAGAAGGTAATGTATTGAAACGATCCCAAGTATATAGCGTTATACAACGAATTAAGCGTGAAAAATAAACTAAATAAACTTAAAAATATGGCCAAACAAAAATAAGCTTGGGTGAATTGGAAAATTTTCATTCATCGTTTAACACACATCTCTTGGCTATAAATGTTGCTATGACCATGCTACAATCTTTTGTATATTATTCACTTTAACTTTCTTTTGTACACTTATATATCGTATATACATATATGATATATATCCATTATTTTCTTTATTATTATCTGTCTCAATAAATTGAGATTTATCAAACAACATTTAATGGCAATATTGACCATTCGTTATGTATTGTCATATATATGAGATTAATTATGATGATGATAAACCATTGTTTCGTATTGTTGTTTCGAGCAAGAGATTGATGGAAAATTTCAAAAAAAAAAATGTAACGTGATATATGAGCGGTCTGTCAACGTCTGAACTTTAGGAAGGTATCCCACTTTTTTGCAGTTGGAACAGTTGAAAAGATAAAAAAAAAATTTCACCCGTGTAGGGGCCTCCACTTGCTGTTAGCATTTGTAACGTTTGTTATGAATTGTAACGTGATATATAAACCGTCGTCAACGTTTTGAACAATGAGTCAGCATCGAGTGCTGTTTTATCTATAAAAAGCATTTCTTGATTTTCTCGATAAGAGATGATAAGCCACGTTCTACTTTTGGATTGTATTTGTGTCGTTGTTATCATAATGATTATATTGTATAAGTCAACTAGCTGCGCATATTCCTGCCTATTGTCTCCACTTCCTTTTTCGATTGAGAATGACGGTGTGAGAAACGAGCATGTTTCCGACCGTAAATTCCGAGTCCGAGCGAGTTAATACATATATAAAGACTTTATTTCGTTTTCTACCATTGTTCCATGTTCAATTTTTAGTGAAACCAAAATAGATACGATGAATCGGAATCTATTGAGACATTCCTTGACGAATTTGAACGTGTGGCCGAAGCAAATTCTTGGAATGACACGGAAAACGCTAAAAGTTTTTCAGCTTTACTTAAATCCAGTTCTGAAACCATCAAAAATTTGTCGACTACCGAAAGAGCATTTCCGAAAAAATTAAATTTAAAGATGAATCAAATGAATCAAAAGCAAGTTTTAAATTTCATGTTTAATTCTCTCAAAAATAAAGGCTTAGAGCCTGAATTTTGGATCTCTGATGCATCGAATGAAATCCGAACTGCATTCAAAGAGGAATTTAACCTCTCAGACGATTTAATTTAATCATGTGTTGGGCGCAAGCCAGAAAAAAACATGGTCAAACATTCAAATTTGGTCGATTCGTATAACCGAAATTCAATTATGGATGATATTGATTCATTACAAATTCAACACAAATACTATCAAACCGAAAAGTTTTCGAAAAAGCAAGTTTGTTATGCTGGGAAAAATGGAAAAAAATGAAAACAATTTTGTGAATTACATTATAGTGGCTATCATCACACTGAAATTGGTATGAAGGTGCATATATCCACGGACCTTCAACAAATAATGCTTTAGAAGTATTCAATTTAACAATAAAAAATGAGCAAACTTTACGAGAACGATTACCGTTTGCAAGATTAATCAAAACCATCAACGATATGATAAACTCATGGTCGTTAAGTTACGCTTCGGGATCCAAAACTTATAATTCAGAACCGTTAATTGAACTCAAAGATTGGACCGAAGGGTATAATTGGGCCAAAACCCAAAAAATCAAATAAGCTAAAACCGGATGGAACGGTATATTATTTGTTCCCATCCAGAGATGTCAAAGAACTCCCATATAAAACTTACTACGATTATGGCAATCTCCGATGAGAGTCTTTCGGCGATTTCAAAAAAGCATCGTCTAGTTGTTGGTTTGTCTGGATAGAAAAAGATTCATGAAAATCAATGAGATTTACTCTCCTGAATATCGAAACCAATATTGTCAATCGTTACCGTTGTACCACAACAAACCTCTCAATTGTAGATATTCTTTTTGTGTGTTTTTGAATTCGAATAACAACACCATCATTGTAAACGAAAATTTCAAAAGCTACTTTCCCAAAATCGCAAATCCCAAAATTCTTCAAGCCTAATTTCTACAACGTACAGTTTATTACAGGTGATGGTCATTTCATGAGTTACCTTCCCCGAATTAATGTTAAACCAACTCCCGCTTGTGAATGCGGTCATAGCTACCACGAACCTAATCATATCCTGTTTGACTGTTCTATCCACCGGCAAATCCATCACAATTTAATTAATCCATGGGAATTTATGATCAACAAACATAATTTTACGTTGTTTAATAATATCTGCAATGGATACGTAGTATCCAATTACTAATTTGATTACTGTATTACATTTTCTTTTGTTTGTTCCTTTATAACACAAATGCCATCATGGTAGTGTGTTTTATTCTAAATAAATAAATAAATAACACCATCATCAATTTCCAAAGGCCTAAATAAATTAATTTTGCTATTTTTTCTTTATGAAAAATTTTTGATAATTTTCTACAATTTCCAAATTCTTATTCTATTCTATTAGTTTTCTTTTATTTTCAATGATAATAATGGTTGTTTTGAGACCGATATCATCAATCGGAATTGCCGGGAACAACAAAAAAAAATTTTTCCCCATTCAATTCGGTCATCACACTAAGGATAGTATAATACTCATAGAAAAGAAAAAAAAATTGTCTTTTACTCACTTATTTCTTTTAAAAACACCCACACACACACACACACACACACACACACACATACAGTGGAGATAGTGCCGGAATTCCAGGATCCACTAACACTATTTGAACCTTAAGCACTATCAACATCAACAACATACACGCATATATATATACACAGCAGCAGCAAGTTTTTTTTTTCTTACATAGTATAAAAGATTGAAGAATGGAATGAAAAAATGAATGAAGAAAATTTTCACTACAAAAAGATGTTCATTTTCAACACTAACATACATTTTTTTTACAGGAATTGGATCCATTTTTTTGACGCAAACTCAATTCTTCAACTTTTTTTTACCCATTCAACTATAGTGTCCTGGAACACAATGTACATGATGCTACGGTTTTATATATTTTGGATGCAATGTATAATATTCTGTAATAGTATAATGAAGAGCAGAATAAATAAATAAATAAAAAATAAAACAGACGCAGTAAGATCGAAGATCGACACTATTCACAATATATACACAAAGACAAGACAAGACAAAATAAAAAAGAAAATGGAATAAAAAAAAAGAAAAAAAAAGACAGAACGGAATTTTCTTTGCGGCATTATTGTTGATGATGATGATGTTGTTGTTATTCGGCCCAAATGATTGTATTTTGCAGTCATCATATACAATACATAGCACCGTATTCCGATTCTATGGTTTGCATTAAAAAGAATATGTTTGATTTTTTTTTCTACACATTTCTTTACTCGTCTGTTACATTTGTTTTTTTTTCAATGAAAAAAAAAAAATGTTTTTCCTTTCCGAGCTTCTGTATGCTGCTATATTATCATCATTAGTGTAATATAATCGCTATACTAATCATTTGAAAAAAAATTGAATCAAATAATTTGATTTTGAATATATAAAAATGAAATGAAATGAAATTTATTATTATGATCGAATGCCACAATACCACATAATTTAGCCTTAATTTTTTTTTTGTTCATCAAGCAATAATCCACAGAATTCTGTTGATTGATTCCTTTTTTGTTTCTAAAATCATCAATCGAACAACAACAACAACAACAATGACGATGAATATTCGTAAAGAAAGAAAAATTAACGAAATCATTTTGTTACCGTTTCATCATTTTACATCATTTGATTATTTAATATCTATTTTTTACATTTGGAATTTATTCACTCTGGTTCAATGTTCATTGCCACATTTGGTCAAAATAGGTGAGTAGTATAGTATAGTATAGTATTTTTATATTGCCCTTGAGCCATAGAGAGAGAGAGATCCACTCTTGTTGTATTGGATTTTTTTTTTATTTTTGGCTGTGCACTCATGAAAATAAAAACAATGTTTACATTTGCATCATGATGATGATGATGATGATGATTTGATTATTATTTAATCTAGGTGGACTATTCGAGAATGGTGATGAATCTGTTGAATTAGCATTCCGTGATGCTATTGAAAAAATTAACGATGAATCCATATTGCCCAATACAAGGCTTGAAGCTGTTATTGAAAAATTGGAACGTTGTGATAGCTTTCAAGCTTCTAAAAGAGGTAAAAAATAAATTTAAATCATTATTTTAGAATTTTCTAATTCAAACAAAAATTATTTTAATTCTTTTATATTATAAAAAGTTTGTAGTTTACTTCATGATGGTGTTGCCGTTGTATTTGGACCACAATCAGTGGAGACCAGTGCACACGTTCAATCGACATGTGATGCATTACATGTTCCACATATGGAAATGCGATGGGATTTTAAATTTGATCCACCATCAAATCATTCAGTAAATCTGTTTCCACATCCATTAGCATTGGGTAATGCATTCAGAGATTTGATTAAATTAAAAAATTGGAAAAGTTTTGCCATTTTATATGAAGAAAATGAAGGTAAATGAATATTCAATGATACAAAATTAAATTAAATGATATATAAATATTTATATATTTATGTTTTATATTTAAATAAATATGTTTAGCATTAGTTCGTATGCAAGAAATATTAAAAGATCCATCATTACGTGAAAAACGGATCGTTGTACGACAATTTCCTATTGGCAGTGATGAATATCGTACAACATTTAAAGAGCTACATAAATTGGCCATAAAAAATATTATTGTAGATGTACCTCAGGAACATATTTACAATGTATTAAAACATGCTCAACAAGTTGATATGTTATCCGATTATCATAATTATTTTTTCACTTCATTAGATCTACATACAGTAGATCTAGAAGAATTTCAATATGTTGGCGCCAATATTTCTGCTTTCAGTTTGGTTGATTTGAATTCAAAAGATTTTGGACAAATTTTGAATAAACTTCAACGTGATAGTAATACACGTTATAATTGGAATAGTGGTGATTCATTTGATTCTATGGTTCGAATGGTAATTATTTATTTATTTATTTATTTTTGTTTTGTTTCATTGAAAAATAATATATAGGAAATTTATTTGTAAAAATGAAAAAAATTTACTGACCGCTTTTTCTTTATTTTGACAGGTTTCATCACATAATTTTACTGTAAGTAATAAACATTTGCGTACATAGTCATCTTGAATGATGATTGACATCATCGTTCGTTCTTTTGTATCATATACTTACTTATATAATTTTACTTCCAATATATTTGATGCAAATAATCTGAATAGAGATTAAATTATGTAAATTTTTTTGTTTATTTTGTCTACAAACACATGTCCATTTCAAACAGACCGAAACGACACTTGTTTACGATGCTGTTCGTTTATTCGCTCAAACTTTGTCTGAAATGGCAAAAAATGGTGCCACAATCCATCAAAATTTTCAACAAGATGATGTAAGCTGCGAAAAAGAAAAACCATGGCGTTTTGGTTCAACAATATCAAATTATATGCGAAATGTTTGTATGAAAAAAAAATTTCATGACGTTACATGTTTTTTTAATGAATTTTTTTTTTCATTTACATTGAATATAGATTGAAATAAATGGCTTCACTGGTCCGATCAAATTTGATGAAACCGGTTCCAGGATCGATTTCAAATTATTGCTACTTGAATTGACCCGTGAAGGATTGAAACACGTAATTTTGTGGCCACATTATAGATTTGATTTCTTGATTGATTGATTGACATTAATTGATATTTATTTTTTTTTTTTGAAAATAATAACTATATATATAGTTTGGTGATTGGACACCAGGAGAAAAGGTCACATTCATGAGTAATTATACTAAAGCAATGACAGAAATTTATCGAGATACCTTGAAAAATAAAACATTGACCGTGGTTACAATTCTTGGTGAACCATATTGTATGGAAGCTGAAGATGAAAATCGAACCGGAAATGATCGTTTTGAAGGCTATTGTGTTGATCTTATAAAAGAAATTGCTCAGATTCTTGAATTCAAATATGTTATTAAAGTAGTTGAAGATGGTGTATATGGAAAACGAAATGAACGTGGTGAATGGAATGGAATGATCAAAGAATTAATTGAAGGGGTAGGTGTTTTTTTTCTTCGATATTAAAGTATTCTACTATATTCAATTTAATGTCTATTCGACCGTTTATAGAAAGCCGATATTGCCGTTGCTGATTTGACCATAACATATGAACGTGAAGCGGCCGTTGATTTTACTATGCCTTTCATGAGCTTAGGTATTGGTATACTATACAAACGTCATAAAAAAGATCCACCGAAATTATTTTCATTCATGTCACCATTGGCCATGGATGTATGGGTGTATCTAATCACATCATTTCTTGGCGTTACATTATTTTTATTTTTTGTCGCACGATTCTCTCCATACGAATGGGTTAATCCACATCCATGTGTTAAAGATCCACATGAATTGAAAAATAATTTTTCAATGAAAAATACACTTTGGTTTACAATCGGTTGCCTAATGCAGCAAGGATGTGACATAATGCCACGTTCATTATCAACAAGAGTTTTAGCTGCAAGCTGGTGGTTTTTTATTCTTATTCTAGTCTCATCATACACTGCTAATCTGGCTGCTTTTCTTACCGTCGAACGTATGGTTAATCCAATTGAATCGGCCGAAGATCTTTCTAAACAAACAAAAATTCCATATGGTTGCCTTAAATCGGGCTCTACTGAAGCTTTTTTTCGTAATTCAAATTTTTCAACTTATGCACGTATGTGGTCATTCATGGAATCATATCGACCAAGTGTGTTTGTTGAATCGAACAAAAAAGGTGTTGATCGTGTTGAAAAAGGTGATTATGCCTATCTAATGGAATCGACTAGTATTGAATATATTGTCGAAAGAAAATGCGATCTTTATCAAGTTGGTTCATTGCTCGATTCAAAAGGTTATGGTATAGCAACGCCTCCTGATTCTCAATATCGTTCGATTATTTCGGATGCCATTCTTAAACTACAAGAAGAAGGAAAATTACATATGCTCAAAAATCGTTGGTGGTCCGGTAAAGGTAAATGTGGTGGAAAAAAAGAAACACAAAAAGTATCCGTTTCAGCTAGTGAATTAGGTTTGGCTAATGTTGGTGGTGTATTTGTTGTATTGGCTGCCGGTTCTATCATAGCAATTATTATTTGTATCGGTGAATTTATCTGGAAAATGGAGAATATTCCACGTTCAGAAAGGGTATGTCTGTAGATTCAAAGATTTGTTTTTTTTTATCGAATTAATTGATTTCATTTAACACACCCATATATAGGAACACATCTGTATTGAATTATTACGTGAAATTAAATATGTAATATGTTGCTATGGTAATACTAGACCAATTCGTAAAGTAAGCGATATGAATCCAGCAAGACATCTGATTATACAAACCGGTAATGGATTACCATTCATGCCAATGAATAGTTATCAAGAAATGAATAATAAAAACATTTATTCATAAGTTTTGATGATGATTATATAATAACTTATTATCACTATTGCGATTGTATTACATTCACATCTTTATACACACACACACACACACAAATGAATACCTTTAAACACAATGTCATTCCAATATATTTTAACTTATAAATATCAATTTCAATTTTATTAGTCACATTTTTATCGATTTTAGCCAATCAATAATTCATTTATATTCGAAATATATCATTTTTTTTTAAATTTTCAACATCTTTTGTCGTGTTTTTATTCAGACACATGAAAAAAAAACATCAATCAAATTTGGAAAAGCCAATCATCTGCTGCTGCTGCTGCTGCTACTGGTTGCTGTATTTTATAACGGTTACACAGTTCAAATTGATGATAATAAATTTTTTTTCTTTTCATTCTTTAATAATGGTTATGAAAATTTTAATTTTAAAATTTCACTTTGTCTTTGAATTATTTCAACGTGTGTGTATGTGTGTTTGTGTGATGATTGATTATGATGATTATATAACATTTTTAACTGTTAAACTGATTCAAATTCTGGAATTTACTACAATATGCGCATAAAAAAAAAAACGCAACTAGACAAAACATGATAAATTATTCGTATTATGAAAAATGTTATGAGATTATGGAATTTGTTTTATCATCATCATCATCATCATCATCATTATGATTATGACTAGCTATATATGATTTGCATTTTGTTTTTTGTTTCTCATGAGATCAATTCATTCATGTGTGGATAAATTAAATGAATGACTTTTTGTCATTGAAAAATTTGTACGTTGCTAAGAATGCCAAAAGAATTGGTACTGAATTGGTCAATAAATTTGTTGCCAGATTGGTTGAATCTGGTTTGAAAAATTGATCCATACGCCAATATTGTGACAAATGATTAATATGATTTTCACGACGTTGTTCTTGACGTCGTTCCGAATTGGTCATCTCTTCATTTTCACGTCGATTGAATCTTGATTCAATAGTCCATAATTCATCATTATCACTACGTTCACAACGTTCATTGTCGTGTAGATGTTCATTGTCACGGCTAAATTCATTTGATCGTTCATCGTTACGTCTGTCCATATCAATTCGATCATCGGATCGACGATCATTTGATTCCGTTTCTCTTCGTCTATCGGTGTCCAATCGTTCTCGTCGTTCATCCATTCGGTTATCATCTCTATTACGGTATTGCCATTGTTCTCGAATTTCTTCTCGATCAAAACGTTCTTCACGGTCATCAAATCGATCATAACGTTCGCGACGGTTTTCATCGAATTTCTCTTCAAGACGTTCGCGACGGTCATCAAATCGATCAGAGCGTTCAACTCTCCGTTGATCAAATCGTTCTTCAATTAGTTCTCGATGGTCATCAAATCGATCAGAGCGTTCAACTCTCCGTTGATCAAATCGTTCTTCAATTAGTTCTCGATAGTCATCAAATCGATCAGAACGTTCAATTCTTTGCTCATCAAAATGTTTATTTAATTCTATTTGGCCATCAAATCGTCGATCATCATCGATTTGACGTTCAAAATCATCAACACTTCTGATTTGACGATCTTCACTATCGAAATTTTGTCTTCTTAGTACATCATCATTTTGACGACGTATGGATGACCAAAATTCATTTTGTTCAAAATCATCATCAAAACGTTTATCATAATCGCGATGTTCAATTTGTCGTTGATCCGGATAACGTTCAAACAACAAAATGTCACTTGTGACGAACAAAAAATTTAAACACGAAATAAAAACGAAAATTGAAACCTAAAATGAAATCAATATATTTAAAATTAATCAGATGTGAACATATTACATACAAACCTTTTTTGTATTCTTCATTGAGACAATCGGTTTTTCAGTAGAAAACCAATCTGAATAATAAAAATTTCACCACGAATCAAATAGTTTTGCTTTGTTGAATATATTGAAGTGCAGATGCTATTTTAGAATTTCGTTTTGAATGAATCCACCGAATGGAATAATCGGTTGCTTTTATAGTCGAGAAAAAAAAATTTTTCCATCATGAATCAAAGACTGAACAATAGTTTTAATTCAAACTACCTGATGTAGCATCTAATTGTATCATCATCATCATCATCATCACCATTATTATCATCATTCGAATGAATAGCTTCCGAGTCACGTAAATGAAAAAACAAACAAACAAACAATAGATAAATGGCGAAAAAATGGATCAATCTTTCAAATTGTATAGAAATTTATTATTTTATAAAAAAAAAAAAAAAAAATCTTTTGCTAAAAAAAGATTAAACAGAAAAAAACGGAACAAACATGAAAAAATGAAATCCCATGAACAATGCTTAGGAACATGTACAAAATCAATCAATGAATTGTGTTTCTAAAAATGTATTGTCGATGATTGATCGAGTGTGTTTGTGTTTGTGTGTAAAGTGAACAGAATCATAATGGAAATGATGATGATGATGATCAAGGATAAGTAAATCCGTTACATCAATGAAAATATCACGTTGATTCTATTAAATGTCAACCAGTTAGCCATTAACGTTTTATAGCCAATAATGCATACGAAACAGATTGATCCTGTGACCAGCTCCATTGATAGGTAATTGGATTGAAAAACATTCCATGAATTTTGGCAACATCGCAACCATCTAGATATGAATGAGGAAAACCATTTGTTTTAAGAAATGCTTTTTAAAAATTAATAAAAAAACTTACAATCCTCTTTCAATATCAAACTTAATGCTGCCGGTGGAATAAATTTCGAATATTCATGTGTTCCTCGTGGCAATAATCCAAGAATATACTCGGAAATAAGAATTGCTCCAAAATATGATAACAATGTTTGATTGATTGTTGTGATAACTAGAAAACCACCGGGACGGATACAATTGATGGAACTTTGTAAAAAGCTTTTGATATCATCAACATGTTCAAGTACTTCACTTGCAATTACAGCATCAAATGAATTTTGATTCTCAGCAATGGTGCTGAATTCTTCTATTGTCGATGATTCATAATGGATCATGGTTTCGGTGTTGGCAAATGAAATACGTGCATGATTTTTGGCAACAACAACATTCTCTTTGACCGGATCAATACCATATATATTGCCACCTAAACGAGCTAAGGATTCGGCAAGTATGCCTCCACCACAACCAATATCCAACAATTTTGAATCTTTCAATGGAAATTGTGAACAACGTGTTACTTTATCATAATTATCATTTAAACGAGATTGAAGAGCATCGACAATAAAAGGCACACGTAATTGATTCAAATTTCGTAATGCCAAAAGTTCATCACCTTTCCACCATTTTGGTGAGAATTTTCGAAACTTTTCCAATTCATTAGAGTCGATACTTTTGAATGATAGTTGAGAAACATCGTTGTGAATTTTTGAATTTTGTTCGTTGACCATTGTTGTGGCAATCATACGCTTTGAATGTTTCAATTGGTTCGGTTTTGACAATTGCAAATGAAATTTTCGCATTAAAAATGTACGACGACAAAATGATAATTTAATGGTCATTTTCTTATTGAATATTTTTTTAAAACATACAGAAAAGATTCAGTTTTTGAAATCAAAAAACAAAATATCACACATGCATATATGTTGAGTGTTTATCATACACACACAAAAGTTAGGAACGGTTGAGTGTATTCATTGCTGTCGAAATAGATACGGGCAAATTATAATGCAGACAACAATAATAGTTACATTGATGAGCTGTCTTTAACTCTCGGCGATAATTTTAGTGGTGGTGATTGAATGTTTGTTGTGGTTCCACGTGAACGGAATATATCTACCAAAGAACGAAAAGCCGGGTTATTATCATCAAAAAAAAAAAAAAAAAATTCATTAATTCATCTTATAAATTAGAAAATCCGATTCTTGATACAATAAAGTATTTTATTCATCAAAATATTGGATTATTAAAATATTGCCGGTATAATATTGAGAACTCCGATGATTCCGTGTACAAAAATGATACAGCCAAGAATTCTATATCATCATTCCAGAATGTCCTGCCACATGATTCTTTTGTGTTTGGCAATGATTTGGCTAATACCAATAATCAATGCCAATGCCAAAAAGAAAGAAGTAATTTTAAAATCATTTAATATTTCAAACCAATTAATTTATCTTAATTATTATTATTTCAGTCGCCTCATATGCCTTTAGAGGAAAGAAGCGAAAAATTAATTCAAATGTCCTTCAAACGGCCAATGATACGCTTGAATCCGGAAAAATTTCGTACATTCATTGGATCAAAACAACATGGTCAACCGATTCGTAATTATACATTCGTTGTCATGATGACTGCATTATCACCGGGACGACAATGTTCTGTATGTCGTTCGGCTGCCGATGAATTTTCCATTGTAGCCAATAGTTGGCGTTATTCATCTTTGTTCAATCCAAGCCTATTTTTCGGTTTTGTTGATTATGATGAAGGGTCTGAAATCTTTCAACAACTTAAAATCAATTCAGCCCCGGTGTTTTTATTGTTTAGTGAACGACAAATGAAAGCAAACACATTATTAATCAAACATGCTGATCAAATGGACATTCAACGAATTGGTTTCTCCGCCGAAACTATTGCTCGTTGGATTGCCGAAAAAACTTCCATCTCGATTCGTGTAGTTCGTCCGCCCAATTATACTGCTTCATTTCTATTGGTTATATTTTTCAGTTTGTTTTCCATCATTCTTTATGTTCGCCGAAATAATCTCGATTTTCTTGGTAACAAAACTTCCTGGTCAGTAACCGCTTTGGCTATTGTTTTTGGTATGACTTCTGGTCAAATGTGGAGCCATATTCGTGGACCACCATTGATGCATCGTTCAGCGAATGGAATATCATACATACATAATGGAAGCGGTGGACAATTCATTATCGAGACTTATATCATCTTTGTCATCAGTAAATTTTTAAATTAATTCAATTGAATCCTAATGTATTAATGTTTAAATTCTTTTCACAGATTGTGCTATTGCCGCTGGTTTCATATTTATTATTCATGCCGTTAAACAAAGTGGTAAAATAGATCAGAAGAAAAAGAAAAGTTTGTATAACCAAAATTATTATGACCATTTTTGAATTTAAAACTAAATCAAATTCTCATTACAGTAATGTTGATTGCCGGAGTTTCATTGATTGCAATATTTTTCTCATTCCTGATGTCAATCTTTCGTGGTAAAGCACATGGTTATCCATATAGTTTTCTTTTCAAATGAATTCATTGAATTTATTGGTGAAAATTGTGAATAATGAATCGATTAATTATCCATTAACATCCATATGGTACATGCATGCATATTCGTATTCAAAGAAGAATTTTTTTTTGTTTTGTTTCCTTGGAAACCAACAGAAACATTTTATTTTTTTTTGTTTGTTTGTTTGCATGGATTAAAAACACAAACTTGATTTGTTTATTCATTATTTTCTACTATTAAACAAATATAAAATGTAATTTTTTTTATTGAATAAAAAATAAAAAAAAAGAATCTATATCCAAACAATTTTTTCAGCAAAAAAAAATAAAGAAAAGAATCACCGTTGTCACTAAAAAAAATTTTTTTTTGGTTCTATTGACGTCAGCAAATTTCATATTACTTGAATGGCTCCATTTCATTAGTTGAATTTAACATATGTGTGAAAGATAATGGATAATTAAAAAAAAAAAATATGCAAAACAATCTCGATATACAGCCATTGTCATCATCATCATCATTTATTTACGATTGTTATGAATAATAATAGAAAACAAAACAGTTACTTATTGCAGTTGGATAATAACAGATAAGGTGCTGAATTCTTCTTTATTTCTTCAACCTAGTCAGCATTATTATTATTGTTATTATTTCCATCATCAATCTGTCTATGTCTATCATATATATGTTATTTATGTCCCTATTTTTAATCCATTTGAAGTTGTTCAATTTTTTTTTTATTACAATGATGATGTTAAATATTTTAAGAATCTTATCATTGATTTGAATTTTGAACATGTTTCTAAATAAAGTGTGCACACACACACTGTTATCGGTACGTCATTAAATTTTTGTTCTTTTGTTTATAATGATGAAAAAAAAATTTTTTTTTTTTTTCTTTTTCAATTTATATATCGATGCCATTAAGAATGAATTATAATGACAAAAAAAAGGAGAAATCAGGTCGTCAAAAAAAAAAAAAAAAAGAATGGCAACAATGAAGACTGATAGATAGATAGAGAGAGAGAGAGAGAGATACATCATTCATGATTCAATAGTTAAAGCCCACTGTTCATTAGTTTCATTGTTTTTTACTTATTGCGTCAAAAACGCCCAATTTTTATTCTTTCTCTTTTGTTGAATATAGACTAAAGATTGATGATTGTGGAAGAATTTTATAAACTAACATCATCATCATCTTAGTCTTTCAAGGATTGTTTATAAATGTGTGTGTGTGTGTGTGTGCATATTCAGAAAAAATATATATATGTCTCATGTTTGCATTTATATTATCAACCAGATGTGTGTATATTTATGATCACTATCATTCCTGATGTCGGTATTTGATTATCGATATCATTCAACTCCACTTCATCATCATCATCATCATTATCATTACTTTCATTCTCATTCGATGTTTGATTCGCCATCCAGCTAATCCATCTGGATATCATTTTTTGTTTGTCGAATTCTGTGAATAAGTGCGAAGATTTTTGTATGAGTTTGAATTTCTTTTGATTCAATCGATCAATACTTTTAAAGTGTTTGTAATTTTCATTTGAAATCAAAATGGTACTAGTCCGAAAAAACAATAAAAAAATCAAATTAATTCGATATTTTTTTGTCAATATAAATTCATATTATTATTGAACAATTTTATTTATTTATCATTTCAGGATGATGAAAAAATGGCTGAAAAAGAACGTAAAAGACGTGAAATTCGTGAACGTCTTGAAGCTCAGCTGAAAAGTTCACAAAAGAAAAAAGGTTTCATGACACCTGAACGTAAAAAACGACTTCGTGTAAGTAGTGAATGTTGATCAGAATATTAATTATGAATTCGTAATTTAATTTGTTCATTTCCGTTGAAAAAAATTAGCAATTACTTCGTCGTAAAGCAGCCGATGAAGTAAAACGACAACAGGAACAAAAAGAAAAAGAACGACAAAGAGTAATCGGTGAACGAACGGGCGAATCAAAATCATTACCAGATGATGGTTAGTATGATTGTTGTATTGTTGAAGTTTATATATTGAAATTATTATTCAAATCAATTTGTTTCTATTTAAAGTTGATCAATTGCAAGAGATTTGCAAACAATATCATAACAGAATTTACAAACTAAACGAAGATAAATGGGATCTAGAATTGATTACTTGTCTCAAAGAATATGAGGTATGTGAATGATTTTGGAATAAAAAAAAATTCATTGATGATGATAATCATGATTAGATTGCCGATCTTCAATCACGTGTTAACGATATGAGAGGCAAATTGTAAGTTAGAATTCATTTTTCTATTTAATGGTTGTCGGTCTCATCATTTTATTTTATTCTATAATAATTCTATGATTTGAATAATAATAGCATTATACCACCATTGAAAAAAGTATCCAAATATCAAACACAATTGGAAAAAATGCGTCAATGGACATATAAATTGGCCAAAATGGATATGCGTGGTGCATTGAAATCGGTGAAAAAAGAAATTGAATTGGATGATAAACATAAAAAAACAGAAACAAAACCAGTATGGGCTGCTGAAACTAAAGCGGTTAAACAAACGGTTGAAACAACCGAAATCGATGCAGGTGAAATTGATGCAGGCGAAATCGATGATTATGATGATGATGAAGAGTGAACAATAACGTGAATGAACAAACTATTCAATTATTCACGTACATTATTATCATATTTATTTATTTATCTTTATTCTTTAGCAAATATAATAATGAAATATCGAAAAAATGATTCAAAAAAAAAGAATCGAATTTGTTTCTGTTCTCTGTTTCTGTTATTCTGCCTGCCCGAAAAACCGAAAATAACAATTAATTGAAAATTAAAAAGCATTTGTCATTGGTTCTGTGTTTGTTTGTTTGTTTGTTTGTGTGTGTGTGTGTTTTTTTGGCGTGTGTTGATTTTCATTTCATTTCAAGAATTCGTAGAATATTCTGCACCGGTTTATCAAACAAAAGATGTACGAAAAATGATAGTACTGTTGTGAGGAAAACATTGCATATTGTTTGCTGAAACTAATGAAAAATTTTGCATTATATTATTAATGATGATGACAAAGGACAACAAAAAAAACCTTACCATAAACATATCATCAAAATCGATTGTATCTTTGGTTCGAAATGTTAACCAAATAGCTGGTATTAAATTTATCAGGTAGATTTGTAATGATAAATTGTATAGAGGACGAAGTGCCGGAAAATCAAATAATTTTGACCAAAATTCTAATGTATAATAGATAAAATAATAATGGCTGAAACATCAGAATTTTATCGACTCACCTCTTTTAGTACAACAAATATAGAATATCCACATAAATCCTGAACACCATAATAATTTACCAATGGTAATATTTAAATAGATTTCCAAATCTGATGCTGATTTTGTTAATAATGTAAATAAATCAGATGGTGCTGTATGTAATGTATATGTCCATTGAAATCCAACAATTGACATGATGATAAAAACAATAGTTAAAATACATTCACCAATTCTACCACCGAAATAGATTTTCGGATAATCCAATATCAAATAACCGACTAACATTCCAAATACAAATGTTGAAATATGATGAATAAATGGCCATGTATAGTAAATCGTGTAAAGAGATTCATAAAAAATGGAATCCATTCGTGACCATTGATTTGCGTATGGCCTTCCATTAAACATTAGATGACTGATACTGATTAAACATCCAATAATAATGGATAAAATAAGGAATAATATCGAAAAGAATCCTCTTTTAAGACGATATAATGGCAACAGAATCAATGGTGATAAAAGAATCAAATGGAAACAAGAATTTGCCCACCAAGTTGCCATATTGCACTACAAATGAAAACAAAAAAAAAAGAAATAAATGGAATTTTTTTCGATAGAATTAATTAAACATACGAAACTATGATTCTGTAAGAATTCCAAATCAACATCATAGAAATTATAGCTTAGCATACTGGACAATAATTGATGGCGACATGCATATACAAAATATTGATCCATATGATGCCAGAATGGTCCACTATCCCATAATGGTAGTAGATAGTAGAGAAGAATGACGCCGAAAATTGTTGGATAAAATCTTAAATACATGTTGATGGCAAATTGTAAAAAATTAAATCTTCCTTTGGTTTTTCTCAAAAATTTCAATGTTGTATATGCCATCAAAAGACCACTGAAAATGAATGAATAATTGTGGATAAATATTAGTTGTTCGAGTAAAAAAAATGACAAAATAATTACGTTAAAGAGAAGAAAAAATCTGTATTATGAAAATTTCGTAGAAATCCATATTTCTTGTCTTGTAATGTTTTCGTTGCTAGACCAGTGAATAATTTTTTCTGCACAGCCATACTGGCTGTCAATGTGCCCATATAATATGTATGCATGAATATTGTTTCAATTAACATTACTAGACGAAAAAAATCAATTGATCCGAAATTATTTGGTTTCGAAACGAATAATGATCGTAAATTGGATACGAATGAAAATGCAACAATAATACAAGATATAGTTGAATGTTTTTGTAATGATTCTGATGTTGATGTTGATGTTGATGATGATGATGATATACTGCTTTCATTTCCATTGTTAACATTAACTGTTGTAAGTTGATTATTGTCGATAATATCATTGTTTTTGCCAATGTTTTTGTTGTTATTTTCATCGTTATCATTTTTGCTTTTCACAGGATCATTGATTGATAATGATTGTTGTTGTGATCGTTTGAGAAAATATTCATAGATTGATGCTAAAATGGTTAACAAGAAAAGGCCAGAATAGATATAACTAACGAATGATGAAATAATATTTTTTACAATTAAAGATTAAAAAAAGGATCACAAATTCATCATCTTACATGGCCATCCATTGAAAATTATCCAAAACAATTGGTTTATCATGTGAATCACAACGAGATTCTGGACCAATTTCAATTGGTATTTTTGTTATTGGATACAGAATTGAATTCAATGTCAATTGAATTTCATCAGCTGTACAAGTGGATGGTATACAAATTCCAATGTTTATCATTGAACGATTGAAAAAATATAATGCATCTGAAATTTCATCAATCAAACTTGTTGGTATGCCAAATGGTAATGATCGATCCTTATTGATTATAATTTTTCCACGAGGATGTGGAACAATAGGACGTGCAAAACAATATTTACCACGAAATTGTTTTAAATTTTCATTTTGTGAACGAGGACTTTTTATTTCTAAACATTGATTATAATCACCGACACTAGATAGCGTTCCTTCCAATAGACCGCTTGGAATTTTTCCAGCTGCATCTAAAACTGTTGAATGTAACAAAAAAAAAATCATTTATACATAGAACACATTGAAAATGAAATAAAATTAAAAATCAAAAATCAAAAATTAATGTATTATAAATGAATGTAACACATACATTTGAATGACCATAATTCATTTTTGTTTATTGCTCTACCAATCTTGACTAATGATGCCATACATTGTGGAGATAATTGTAATTCATATGCCAGAAATGATAATTGTCTGGACATTCTTTGTAATAATGGTGTTAAACGATGACTAAAATTTCGTCCTAAATCAATCAATCGATGTGCAATAACAAATGTTTGATCAATATTATCTGTCCATATGGCTTTTTGAAAATCAAAATTACTATCCACTTGATAATTGGCAGGAAAAATATCATCAATAAATTGATCAATTTGACAATCATCCAATTGATCATCATCATCATCATCATTATTTTCATTTATTAATGTTGAATTTTTTCTATCAACATTAATCAATTTTGCATATGTATCGTTTAAAAAAGCCAAATCGAATGCATTATCAATCGATTTAGACCAGCTAAAATGATTCAAATTCAAATTGGATGAAAGAATTGTGGACAATGTTGTAGTCGATTTTTCATAATCATCATTGATTTCGTCGATTGTTGTTGATTGTGAATTACAAATTGTACAGAAAATCACAAACAAAAATATTGAAGACAAAATCCTAAATCGATTTAACAATGCCATCATCGTTCATTGATAATCAACAAAATTGAAATGAACATGAAAATTTTTCTTTTCTTCTTCTTCTTCTTCTTTCTATCCATATTTTGAATATTCGACTGAAAAAAATGTTCATTTTGTTGACAATGATGATGATGATGAAGGATTGCGGTTTTGATTCAATTTTTTTTTTGCAATCTTTATCCAATGATCAAAAAGTATACTTTTGCCACTTAATAGAATCATCATCATCAAACATCTTCATCGCCATCATTACCACTATACCACATCATCATCAACATCATTGATTTATCGATTGTTTTTATTTCTGTCTATAATTTAAGTTTTAAATTTTCATTGTTTCATATTGTGTATTGTTAAGGTGTCTTGATTGATGGATTTGAATTTGTTTTTTGTTTTGATTGTTTACGACTAAACCAAATTACCAACATTTATTGGTAGATTTTTTTTCTATATATTTTGCAAATAAAAGATGCTCAATGCCGGACAATAAACTTTTTTTTGAACAAAACAATATTATTATTCAATTCTATAATGGTTGTAACCGTATTTTTTTGTTTATTTGAAAAATTGAAATTTGATTCAAAACACTATGGAATTGTTTTCAATAACATTGAGCTCAATCTTTTCATGAAGAGTTTCGAGAATTTAACATGATCACACACACACACACACACACACTTCAAAATCATCATCATCATGGTTTTCAGAAAAAAAATGCTGCGATATATAATGCGGTTTGAAGCGGTTTTTTTTTCTTCACCATTCTCTTTCTCTTAATCTATCTCCCGAAGGTTAAGTTTATCGGAATAAATCTACGGGGAAAAAACGTGAAAAAAAAATAATTTTTTTTTTCTTTTTGCCAATCAAAATTTAGTTTGTTTTTCATGCTTGTCATGTTCATCTTATGTTGGTTTTCTCTCTCTCTCTCTCTCTCTCTCTCTCTCTCTCTCTCTCTCTCTCTCTCTCTTTTGCCAATCAAAATTTAGTTTGTTTTTCATGCTTGTCATGTTCATCTTATGTTGGTTCTCTCTCTCTCTCCATAAAATTCATTAATTTACACCATCATCATCACAAAATCATAAACAATCAGATTATTATTCGATAATCAAACAATAAATCAATTATCATTTGGATGATGATTACAGAAGCAAAAAAAAAAAAAAAAATCTATGCAACATTCCTATCTTTTTGGCTGATGGGTTTTCCCATTATTCAAAGTTTATTCACAAATAAATAAATTCTTTATGAAAAAAAAATCAAATTTTTCATATTTGAATTTGACATTGTCATTCAATCGATAAATCAATGATTATTGAAAGCCGATAAATAATCTATCTGATAACTAAATTTACATGCAAACAATTTTTTTCGGGTTTGTCATTATTATCATCATCATATCATCATATCATCATGTTCATGATGGTTTCTTTTGACAAGTTCAATAAATAACAGAATTTGTCGATGATAATGAAAATGATAATGACCAAAAATAAAAATTGTCAAACATTTTTATGATCATAATGATGTTCTAGACAGTGAAAAAGAATAAAATAATAATAATAATACCATATTTGGTTTCATCATTAAAAATTGGTCATATCGAAATAGTCAACATCCGGTGAATCTATTGATGATCTATTCAGTCAATGATTTTAAGCATTTATTATGATCGATTTATAAATATTTAATGAATATGATTTTTTTCAAGTTGATGAAAAATATCATTTCCAATGAAAACAATAGAAAAATAAACTACATATTATTATCATCGAAATGAACAAATTTATATTTGTGCATTGATATTCAAACAATCATTTGGATTCATTTTTTTTTTTTTTTTGTCATAAAACAACAGAACTATACACAATTGGTATCCAATAGTGACAAGACAAATATTCCAATAATGACAATGGCAACGATTGAAAACAAATTAAAATTGTTTTTGAATTAAAAATAATTCATTTCATTTAACATGAATGGTCATTATGTTTTTTTTTGTAGTTTGTAGTTTATTGTTTTCTTTCCTCATGAATCTATAAATAATATGATGATGATTATTGATTACATAATGAGCATGATCAAGAAAACGGACAGTTTAACCATGTGTGTGTTACAAATAAACAATAATAAACATTTATATTACGTCAGTCTTAACATTTGTTTTGTTATTTACACAATGTTCATTCACTCAAAAAAAAATTTAATGAATGAAATTGTTGAATTATGAAAAAAAAAAAGAAAGAAATTAAAAACAAAAACAAAAAATTAACAATCCAAAGTCTATTATATTTTTATTATTGATACAGAAGAAGGCAATCTTTGTGCTGCTTCTGGTATTGATCAATCAATCAATCAATTGATCGATCAGTTATTCAGTCAAATCAGCTGCCCAAAATCGATTACGATCAGTCTATCGATTTTTTCTCATTTTTTTTCTGGTGAACTAATATTTGATCTATACACCAAATCATTGCCATTGAAACTTTTTTTTCATCATTTTTTTTTTGGTTTGTTTTTTCAGTTAAACAGTATATATACAGTATATTACATGTAAGTCTGTTTGTCCTTAATATTTTTTTTTTTGTTCGATGCCATTAATTATCACCATAGTTTGAATCTAGTTTATCACTAGATGATGAAGGCTACATTGAAAAAGAAGAATGAAAACACAAAATATTTGATTCAAATAATAATTTGACAACTAAAAAAAAATGAAATGAAATTTTCTTCTCAATATTTTGAACCTTCTGGTTTCATCTCATATGATGATGATGATGATGATGGTTCATATATGACCATAAGTTTATTTTTTTTTTTTTCATCATTGAAATTTGCCATTTCATCATGATCATGAATCATGTTCAATGGACATAAAACAACTTTGATTTGATTATATATATATATTTTTTTTCACACCATTTATCAAACATATCAATATGAGTTGTTTCAATAAAATTCAACAATAATAAACAACAAACAAATCCATTATCTAATGATCGATTGATTGATTTATTTTTTATGGATTGTACTTATACTAAATCAAAACAAAACACACACCCACACACACTCAAAAAAAAATGATTGTGACGGAAATTCATTACTGGAAATATAGTATTTGGATTGTGTTTGATTAATTTTGTAGAAATAAATATTCACATTCACAAATATAATCAATAATAAATCAGATTAAATGTTGTCAATTTGTTTAATTATTTTCATTTTCATTTGTTTTTTTTTTTTTTTGTTAAGGTTATGAATATTGATTTTTTTTTTTTTTTCACTGAACTATAGAAAAATTTTCTGTCATATTCTCTCTGTTTTTTTTTTTCTTTTTTTTTTTACAGATGATGATCATAATAATACCATCCATTTGGAAAATACACGAAATTTTTCCTAGCCTTGTAATATTAACTGCATTTCTATTCAGATGTTTTGGCTGTTGTTGATGTCGAATTCACTTGTTCATTCATTCATAATGGATGGTTGTTTTCTTCGGTTTTTTCTCACATAACGAAATTTGAGTATGAAAAAATGAATTTTATCAACAATTTGTATGTGAAAATGAAAAAAAATTTTTTTTTTTTTGCTCCTTCTACAATTCAGATTACTTCAGTCACGTCGTCATCGTTTTGGGATTTTTTCTTATTGAATATGATTGATTGATTGATTGATTGATTAATGAGACAAATTGGATCAATAAAATTGAGGATAATCTATTTCAAAAAAAAAACGATTTAGCAGAAGAAAAAATTGGATAATTTAAATTTTTATAGGATTAAAGACATTCGGTGTGTGTGTGTGTGTGTTGATTGATAATGTTTGTCCATAAAATAAATTAACATCAATATATATATTTGATTATTATCATCAATCGATAATAGTATTGTTGCTGGAAATTCCAGAAATTGATTGATATGTGGTTAACCCACACACACACACACATCAAACAGGCTCAATCAAATCATCATATGTTATTCATCTAAATATATATATATTTTTGTCTATATGGTGATGATAAGTAATTTTTTTGTTTCTTTCCCTGTGCACTCAAATATTGAAAGAAATGAAAGAAAAAAAATGTTCATATATGCGATGGTTGGATATTATGATTGAAAAAAAAATATATATATAAACAAATGTCAAATGTCGATATGAAACAAAACAAAAAAAAATTGATCTTTGATCGTTTGTCAACGGTCACATCAGTTCATTTGATTGATATTTCTGAATGATGATTGGGCTTTCCCGGTAATATGATGATTTTTTTTGTACATTTATCAGATTGGCCAACAGGTCGATAAGGACAAATTTCTTTTTTTTTTTTATTTTATTTTATTGGAAAACTCGCACAATTATACAATGTTACAGTTGAATTTTTTTTTTACCATTTCGGCATTACATAAGCGTTTTCAAAACATTATTAATTAATTATGATCGATTATGTATGTTTATTCTTGAATTTTTTTCACAAATCAATTAATTATCACTAAAATTCCTGATCAACCAGTGAATAACCATCATCGTCAATATATGACATTATTATTCGTATTAGAAATGATGAGATGAACGAAAAAAAAATTATTCAAGGTTTCAACTTGTAATTCAATACAAATGCTACACCAAACCACTTGGCAACCGAATTTTTTTTTTGTTCTCTTCTCCATCATCATCATCAGCATCATTTAAAAATATTTTTTTCTTCCAAATCCATTCATCCAACAATGACGTCGATTTTTTTTTATTAAAAAAAGTCTATGCCTCAAGAATCATGATGTACTTTTTTTCTCTGTTTTTTTGCTCTTATAACCATAATTTTATGATGCAATATTATCAATCTTCTGAATACATAATGTAATTTTTTTTTCTTTGTCCACATGTTGAAAACGTGTTACTGTTGCTTATAATCGAAAAAGAGAGAGACAGAGAGAGAGAAAGAATCGTTCATTCTTCAAATTTTAAAAGAGGTTTACATCATACATTTGTTGTTTTTAACATGTCAAAAAAAAATTTTTTTTTTTTTACGTCAAGAAATCATGGTATATCTGTGAGATTATTTCAGATCACACCAA